TAAAACGGCAAGCTAGCAGAGATTCCTTAAATTCCGAAAAATCCCCTCCCCTGTCTAGCACAATGTGTATTTTACAGTCTGTAAGACCCAAAAATCTACTCTCAAATTCAGATACCAAGAAGTGGCCGACCGGATCACCGGGTTCATCACCGAGATCCTGGAGATGATGAACACCGGCCAGCCCGAACAGGTAATTTAATAGTTTCCAATTTCTTAGTTTATGAGATGGTTTTGTGCTTTAGAAAGCTATCAATTTTCTTGCAGTACATCATGATGCGCATCCGACGAGTTGGAGCCGTTCACTTTGACAAGAACATTCACTTCCCCTCGTCGGTGTGGCGCGAGTTCAAGTCCAGCCTGCTGACCATCATCGCCGAGTGCCCGTACGAGTCGCAGGAGGTATTTGTTTAGTTTTAAAAGGTTTTACCTATTTTTAATTCTCCTTCCAAGTCAATAATTAATTTAGTAACGATTTTAATCGATATTTCGGTATTTTTCTACTAAAAAATTGTAAGTTTTCGCGTAGGAATAGTAAAAATTATGGCAGATACATTTGAACCACCATTGATACCCTCCCCTCCCCTCCCACCACCGGTAATGCCAAAGAACCGGAATTCTTTAAAAAAAAACACAAATTCGCTAACCTAATTAAATTTTAGTTTTTTTATGCTATTAATATCCATAATTCTTATTTTAGGAACGGCTGAGCACGCTGGAGTCGTGGAACACCTTCACCGCGCTCATCATCCGCGAGATGAAAATGGGCATTCTGGCCATCGGCGATGCCGTCGGCAGCATGAGCTGACGACGTCAAAAATGAAATGTGTAGAAACGATATGCCTGCTCCGTGTCATATTATTGCGGGTCCACCCATTATTATCTTACTATTGTTATTACCATATAATAATTCTATCGATTTTGGTATTGGTTTCGGGGGGGGTTATTCCTTATAATAACGTATCATCAAAAATATAACGTTTTTAAAGCTTATTCTTACAGCTTTTAATAATTTTTGATTACTAAAAAACATCAGAGAACATTTAAAATGTTTGTCATTTTAAAAAACGTGAAAAACTAAGACTTTTGAAGAATTTTCGACATTTAAAAAAATTCCAAATCTTTCGAAAGTTCCGACAATTTTAAGGATTTTCTAAACTTAAAACCGCGTAAAAAGCTAACAAAATCTTGTGTAATTCATCACAATTTCTTTTTACAGCTTTTTATAGCGTTAGATTACTTAAAAAGATAAGAACGTGCCAGAAAATCTAAAAAATCGACATTTTCTAATAAAAATCAAACATTTTCAAATATTCTGGAATTTTTCTCAAATTTATATAGCAAAAAACCGCTTAAAAATCTATTTAAACAATATTTATTTCATTTTTGCGACAACCGATAGGCCAAAACTATCCCCCCCCCCCGCTAACAGTCCAGTATTCCCCTACCCCACCTGCAATTTTGAAACTTGTTCAGCAATACAAAACCGAAACGGGTCCATTTCCAGTTTAGCCTTCATCCCCAGAATTTTTTTGTAAAACGTTTAATTGTTTAATTTTGTGAAATAGAAAAGACTGACATTTGAAATTAATATCCACAATTACCCATCGATCTCCCGCAATCTATTGAAACATTTTGTTGCTTCCGCCCCTCTTTTCGGCTCCCCCCCACACAGCAAATCGCGCATTTCGAAATGGGTTGTGTATTTTGTACAGTTGCCCGCGGCCTCAACAATGAATTCATGTCATTACTACGATGCTAGGCCGGGAATAAATGATTAATTTGAAAATGTTACCTAACGCAAGTTACAAGGCAAGGAAGAAGAAAGGCCGGCAGTTTCTGCAAAGGAAGGATCTTTCAAAAAGCTAAGTTAATTTAATAGATACTTAGTTTTAGAGTTACGTACATCAAGACCAATTTTAAACCATACTTTTTCAAAAACTAAAAGCCTGGAATCGTACACGCCTCTAAAATGTTCTTACGAGAGCGCAAAAAGCCAGCGTACATAGGCCTGGTCTGTAGCTTGGTTGCCAACGGCGCGGAATGAAATTCGATCGTTTCATATAAGCTTTAGCTTTCTCTACAAAAAAGATAAACTTTCATTTTTTCTAAAAAGCCATGGAAATTTTAATGGTGTTAAATTACAGGGTTTTCCATCGAGTTTCTCCTTCAACAATCAGGCCTACGACGACAAAGAGTCAAAGCCACGAAAATGTCAAGGTATGAAAGATATTTATAACTTTTTAGTATTACTTTTTAGTCAGCCGCGTTTCGTGGAAGCCGAGCTAGCGGCTCTACTAGAAGATTTGAGCCCGGAGCGGGTAAATAGTTTTTTCGTAGCTTTTCAAAGTTTCCTAGGATCGAATTCAAAACTGCCGGCGCTGGATCATGCAACGATTGCGGCACATTTCAAAGATTATGGATTTCTTGCTGAATGTAAGTTAATAGGACCCTCTTAGTACAAATTCTTGCTCTTTAGAAGATCCGATCCGGCGGCGACCCCCTGGCGATAATGGTCTTGTTCTACGTGATCAACGACGTGGCCCAGAATGCGAACAGACTAGGCGGGGAAGAAGCCCGTACGACGTTGGCGGCGATACAGTTAATTATGGCGCCGGCTTGCAGGTTTGTAAAAGTTTTGGCAAAGTTTAAAAATGCATAAAAACTTTGAAATTTTGGTCGAAAATCGATACTTTTGTCAAACGAAAATGTCATAGTGGTTGGTAATATCATAGAAAGCGTGTAGCGCTTTTTTTAATAAAATTTAGCCAATTTTTGGGTCCAAAACTGTTTGGAAAAGTTTAAATAGTTATGGAAATTTGGGGTTTTTTTATCGGAAATCGGCATTTTTGGGCAATCAATTGATATTTTTATATTTTTGTCGAAAATCGGCATTTTTGCAATGGAAATTTATAGTTTTGTATTTCTAACAAGATTACGAATTTTTAAATTTAGGAGCTGTAAAAAGCGCTGTGCTTTAACTAATTGAATCAGAAAAAATGAATCATGATAGAAAGGGCGAAATAACCCGTGTTTTTCCAGACACGTAGCTAGCCTGAACGACGAGACGCTAGACGCGAAAGTGCGGCGAACACTTGACGTATGGAGGGAGAGAAACGTCTACGGGCTGGATGATATAAACGAATGGACGTCGCTATTAAATGTGTTTTTTTGCGGTTTTTTAATTTATTTTTTAGTGCAACGGCAAAAAGAAGGCGGCAAAAATGGCCGAGAAGAAAAAGGCCAAGCAGCCTTCGGGCACCACAGCCATGCCGATGCCGGTCAAGAAGGTGGAAATTTATATCATTAAATTTATTGCAACTTCTAGTCCGCCTCCGAGGACAACCCGTTCAATTACGACGCGCAGCAGCTGAACGCGATGACGAAGAGCCTGCACAACGCGCTGGAAAAGCAGAAGCGCCCACCCTCGATGGATCTGGAACTGAGGCAAGTCAAAAGTTTTGTATGTTCTTTGGCATTATCGGGGGGGGGTAAGATTTTTTCCTAGGATCGAATTTTTCAAAATCAATATCGGAAGTATTTCTAAGCTGTTTTTACTATCCCTGAACGTAAAACATTTACAAATTTTTATTACATATACCAAAAATTTCGATTTTCTGCTAAAATGGCGGGTTTTTAACAAAATTCCTATTCTTTTCAAAGTTTTTCTAGCTGGGATTTTATTTCACGAAAGACATTCAGAAAATATTTATTAAGTTTCTAGGCTTATACAAACAAAAAAATTGTTCACCCCGATAGTGCAAAAGTACCGTTTTTATCATTTTACGTTTCAGAGAAAAAATCTCGGCCCTCCCCTCCTACCTGGCCAACCCCGGGGAGCTGAACTTTATCAAGACGGCCGAGGAGAAGAATCGAGTCCTCGCTGAAATTGCCGAGAGCGCCCCGCTAGTCAATGGATATTGTCAAGAGTAAGGGTTTTTTCGTTTTTATGGACCTTTTTTCTAGCCTCGACCGCGAGATCACGAATCGGCGAAAGACGGTCGACCTACTGGGCGAGTACTTGATCATGCTGCGCAACGTGGCGAATCGCGAGAACGAGCAGATACAGTGGCTGAAGCGGAAGAAGGGCGAGGTGGAGAGCGATCAGAAGGAGGTTGGCTTTTTTCTCTTTTCTCCAAAAAGATCTTTTTCGACCAAAATTTCAGTTAAAAAAGCATCTCATTTTATTGGATTGTTTTTCTATTAAATTCTGCTAAAATCCTATCAAAATACATACCATTAGGCATTCCTGGACATAGGATAAAATTCTGCCCCCCGATATTGCAGAAGCACCACTTTATGATTTATCTATTTTCTAGTAGTGTTTTGCACTTTTTTATCGTCCTAAACCCAAAACACTTTTAAATTTTTTTATTTAAAAACCGGGTTTGTCGACAAAAATGGTAAATTTTTAGACATTTTCTAGGCTTTTTAATATGTTTTTTACGCTTGCAATATAGCTCAATTTTGCCAAAAAGCTATTATAATACATGTATAGCATTAATCGACAGATTATTTTTTACTGTTTTATTGGGCTTTTTAAACCCCATTTTTAGCTCGAACTGGCCCTGGAACGACTTCCCGATCAAGCCCTCGAAACGGAGGCCATCACCGAGCTGCCCAACTTTGAGAACCTGTTCAACTTTGGGAAGCCGATGTTCGGCAGCCAATAAATGATGTATTTTCTCTTGCCGTTCTGATTGTTTCCGCCCCTTCACAAATCCTCAATTTCTCCTAGATTCTTACGGGTCTCGTCTTGCTATACACACTGCCTTGTTCTTGTTATAATTTGCAATTATACCATTTAATTCAACTTGTCGATTGTCGTTGCCGAAATTTGCCTGTTATGTGCCGAAAGAATGTTTCTACTATCTGCCACTATTTTTGGTGTTGGCCCAATTGCTATTCCGTTCGTGCGTTTGATTTCCGGTAAAGTTATTTGACTCTGTTGTCGATGCTTGATCCGATTTTTGGTCTTTTCACCTTTTAAAGCACAACAATTAGTTTTTGAGCCTTTTTCCTTCTTCTAAGCATTTTAACAACTTTAAATTCGCACTCTCCCGTGGCCCTTTAAAGCAATAAACCCCCGAGGCACCAACCCGGCCGGCGATGTTCAACGAGCGCAAGTACCACGTGTCCTCGACCATCATCTGCGTGGCCCAGTTCCCGTCGATTGTGACGTCATCCTAAATTTTGCTCTAGAGGCAGGCTAGCCGAGATTTTGCGGGAAATCATAGCTTTTTAATGTGAAATACAGTTGATTATTAAAACTCGGATTAAAATATTTGCTGCCACTAGGATATCTGAACGCCTAGAAGAAGTTCGCCACCTCCCGAAAAGACAAACGCACCTTTTGACTGGGTATCTGGTTCATATGCAAATCTCGGGGTTCCACACTCGCCCACGACGCCGGGTCGAACACGCTCAGAAACTCGTCGTCCTCGAAGTACACCTCTTGAGTTTTGAATTGGTTAGGGACCTGAAAATCCGCAAATATACCTGGCGATGGGTACTCGTCGGCGTCGGCGCGTTCGGGGCAAGATTCCTGCTTGTCGGCGCCTGAAAATGCGTTTAAGTATTTTTATTTAATAAATACTTTTAGATTTTTATTTAACAAACACCTTTAAATATTGGGATTTAATAAATAATAGCAAATAAAAAATTAAATTGTATTTATTTTAATCAATAAATACCAATCGCCACGCCCTTGCCGAAGAACATGACGCCCGTGTCGGGGAACAGGATTTTAGCGACCTGGAATTGATTTTTTTCGAATAGCGTTAGGCTCATTTGGTAGAGCAAAAATTCTTAACTGAATACAGCTTTCAAAAATTGTTATTTGGTTACGGTAAGAGCCGAAAAAAGCAATTTAAATTATCAATTCTCATTTTTCCCCTGAATTTTCACAATTTCTCACGTTTAAAAAATACAGGGTGGCCAGAAAAAAAAGTGCCTGGTTTGCACTGAAATATCTCGCTGGGGGAAACGAATCGGACCATGGTTACCTTGTCAGAATGCTTAAATATGCTGGGTATGAAGAATAAACACAAGTTGTTTTTTACGATTTTTGACGACCCACTACTCGTTAAGAATTTTTGAACATTTTTGAAAAAATAGAAAACTTTGAAGAGGAAAATCATGGAACTTTTGATGAGTTAGAAGGACGTGTCAAGGGTATCAAAATGAAGCTCTTGGAATGCGCTATCAAATCAGTGGTAAAGATTATCGATCGGTTTAACTAGCCGTCAATAGGAGCCTTCGGAAAATCGGCACTTTTTGAAGGAATAATTCCAGATAAAATTTCTTTACCATCAGATTTTTCTGATATTTTGCAGTTAGCAATAAATAGGTACCTGGTAACTTTTAGCATAAAGTTTTTCAAAATCCCGATCAAAAAATGTTTTGGCGCTTTGCCAAGTCGACGGAATTTGTAATTTCTACGCTCCTATAGTTAAAATTTATAACATGGTTATCTTTGGCAATCAGGATTACATGTAACAAGTACAAAATGTTATGGCAACAATGGGCTTTTTGTGGTCAACTGGGAATCGCCCCTTCTGGAAAAGTGCTGATTTTCCGAACGCTCCTATTGACGGCTAGTTAAACCGATCGATAATCTTTACCACTGATTTGATAGCGCATTCCAAGAGCTTCATTTTGATACCCTTCACGTCCTTCTAACTCATCAAAAGTTCCATGATTTTCCTCTTCAAAGTTTTCTATTTTTTCAAAAATGTTCAAAAATTCTTAACGAGTAGTGGGTCGTCAAAAATCGTAAAAAACAACTTGTGTTTATTCTTCATACCCAGCATATTTAAGCATTCTGACAAGGTAACCATGGTCCGATTCGTTTCCCCCAGCGAGATATTTCAGTGCAAACCAGGCACTTTTTTTTCTGGCCACCCTGTATTTTTATCGTATTTCTAAGCGAATCGTCGTGATTCGATAGAGCGAAAAATTCTGAGCCCAATACAGCACTTGAAACTCTTTGTTTCACTACTGTAAGCAGTAAAAATGTTATTTAAAGCCGTAATTTCGATCGGTCTAATCTCTTCTCCTATCCGATAAATTGGGTTTAAGCCTTTTTTCCGGACTACCGTAGCCCTATAGTATTTTTTTTATTTTTGAAGGCTAAACCATGTATTTCATAGCAAAATTAAAAGAATTTAACGACTTTTCTAACGTTTAAATAGGTTTTCTTGACTATGTTTTAAGTTAAGCAACGTTCATTCGAAAGAGCAAAAAATTCTGCACGCAATCCAGCCTTAAAAAATATTAGTTTCACTACAGTAAGCAGTAAAAATGTAACTTTCAGCCGCAATATCGATCGATTTCATTTTTTCCTAAAAATTCGGACCAGAAATTTTTTTTCCGGACTACCGTAACTCAACCGTATTTTTCAAGGTGGCATCTTGTGCAGAATTTTTTCTATATTTGATAAAAGATATTTTCTTTAGTTTTGTGAACTGTTTTTTATAGTTTCTCTTAAGATAACGTACATCCAAATTGATATCAATGGCGGTGGCCACCTCGTTCAGCGAGTCGATGTGGATATGGTCGCCGGGGCAGGGTTGTCTCTAGAAAATAGCCTTTATTTTTTTAATAAAAAATAATAGAAAATAATAGAAAACTACCAAACTTTACCTAAAAAGAACAATGTTTCAATTCTCGAGCGCGCGAATTTTTGGTCAAAAATTTATTAAGCGAAGGACTGCTGTGTGTGTTTTGATATAAGAAATCACGACATTTTTTTGCGCTATGCTTTATGAACTATTTTTTAGTTTTAAAATATGCACTAGTTAGGACCATAATTAATATTAACAATTATAAGCGCGAAACTAGGAAATTTATTTTATTTTCGTGCCAACAAAATAGATTTAGAGCGCAGAAAAAATTAGGTTTCTAGTTTTGCGAAACCTATTTTCTTTGGGAGTAGATTATTTCGAGAAGAGCTCTGATCTAAAATCCGGCAAAACTAAAAATGACAACTACTCCAAACCATAATTACCATACCTTGTTCAGCCAATTCGACGCGGTCCCAAAGTTGTTCTGCTTCCGCCAGGAGAACGGCTTCGCCTCGTGGCTGTACAAATTGAGAGCAAAAAACACCAGCATCTTCCATGTCATTTTGTCAACTGAAAAGGTGTTTCATGAAATTAGAAAACAAGGACAAAAGAAAATTAACAATTGACGCAGATCTTGCATTGAAGGCATAAGACCGCGATTCAATATTTCGGTAAAAACCATAAGTTTTGCCTTCCCATTTCCTTTAAACTTTAACGTTTAAAGTGAGTATCCCATGAAGTGGAACTAAAAATCCCTGCTAACCTGCCCTCCCCAAAATCGATAAACTGTCTTCCTTTCTAGGCAATCGAATTATTTTGATGCGGTCGTCAATTTGGTAACCCGAGCCTCTGGAGTCCGACTCGTCACCCGTGACGGAATAAACAGCCATGTGGAATGGATGGAAGGGAGGCAGGCAAGCAGAGAGCATTGGGGACAAAAACTTTCCAAAAAAAATCAATGTTTCTAGATTCAATGGGGTTTTTTGCAGAATTGATGGTATAATGCGATCGCGCCGTTGAACCTGGAATATCTCATTTATCGCGGAAGAAGAGAGGGCAGGCTAGCAGAGATTGGTGAGGAAGAGGAGAGGGCAGGCTAGCAGAGATTGTTGAGGAAGAGGAGAGGGCAGGCTAGCAGAGATTGTTGAGGAAGAGGAGAGGGCAGGCTAGCAGAGATTGGTGAGGAAGAGGAGAGGGCAGGCTAGCAGAGATTGTTGAGGAAGAGGAGAGGGCAGGCTAGCAGAGATTGTTGAGGAAGAGGAGAGGGCAGGCTAGCAGAGATTGGTGTGGAAGAGGAGAGGGCAGGCTAGCAGAGATTGTTGAGGAAGAGGAGAGGGCAGGCTAGCAGAGATTGGTGAGGAAGAGGAGAGGGCAGGCTAGCAGAGATTGTTGAGGAAGAGGAGAGGGCAGGCTAGCAGAGATTGTTGAGGAAGAGGAGAGGGCAGGCTAGCAGAGATTGTTGAGGAAGAGGAGAGGGCAGGCTAGCAGAGATTGTTGCGGAAACACCTAAAATTTGAATTTGATTCCCGTTTTTTTCTTGTACATTTCACCGAACGGCTGCCGTCTCCTCGCTGACTGACCTCCAGGGGGAAAAAGTGAAAAGCTGATGCCTCGAAGGCGTTTATCGGCGGCTTGTCCCCTCGGGGGGCGAGATGGCCTTGACTGTCCATTGTCTTCACATCCGAAAATATTATCACAGAGGCGGCTCGAGGAGGGAAATGAACTTGGCACCGCCCAGCGCCATAATGGAACGCGTGCGATTTGTTGTTTTGGAGGCTACTTTACTTAATAGTTATTTTTTAGCCAAATTTTGCAAAAGGCAGGCTAGCAGAGAAAATTTGAGAAATTGTTTCACCTCCACATTCCGCGTGAGCAGGCTAGCAGAGACAATTTGGGATTCCGGGAAACTTTTCCAGTTTTTCGCGTTTTCAAAGATAAGATTATGGCTTAGCTTTGGCTTAGGCGTATGTAGGCGTCTTCCGCCGCCTTCAACTTTCCCGAATTCGCCAAATTTTTCAGTTCATTGCCCCTTCCCTTGGAGCGCGGTCAAAATTCACAGCTTGAAACATTTGAGGGGTAGATGGCCTGTGGGGGGAAGGAGGCTCGTTCTCTCTCTCTCTCTTTCTCTCTCTCTCTCTCCGAATGGCCTTCTCCTATAAATTGCCCAAAAACAGGACAATCTTTGAAATTTTGAACTCCAAAAATCTTCTGCGAATTGTCTCTGCTAGCCTGCTCGGTCTTTTCGAGCGTATTTTTTGTCCTATTTAATGATCTCTAAAAATTAAAGCTTTTTATCGTTGCTGTATTACTTTTAATCAGTATTTTTCAGCCACACAAAAATGCTGCCGCTTGCCCTGCTAGCTGTCGCTGGGTTCATCACGGTTGCCGAGGGCTGCTGCGGCCTCTCGTTGCCCGTGATTCAGACCGGTAAGTGGTGTATTCTGACTCAGAATACACGCACGAATACACAAAGCTGCATTATTCCCCAAAAATTAGGGACCGACAAATTTTTAATAAACATTTGATCAGCAAATGGTACCTTTCTATCGCTGAATCTCTCACACTGACTCTCTATCGCTCTCGCCCTGTCTCTCTATCTCTCTCTCTCTCTCTCTCTCTCTCTCTCTTTCTCTCTCTCTCTTTCTCTCTCTCTTTCTCTGCCTCTCTCCCGAAGAATAACTGATCCTGAACTTTCGTTTTAACTCTTAAAATCCATTATTTTAGGCTGTTGTATGCAGTATCAACCACCCAGCATCATCGGATATGCCAGGGTAAATTAACGCAAATTTACCTGATTATTTTTAGATACCGATCTACAAGAAAGTGCGCGTTCGTGTGCCAGTGTAAGTGATATTTTCTCTCTTTCTCTCATGCTCTTGCTAACTCTCTCTCTCCGGTTTGGCAAGCCTTTTAGCGAGGCAAAATATTTTCTGGCAAATAACAATTCTCTTTAGAATCCGCATAATTTAGAAATATTTTCGACTCTAATCCAGTAGCCACAATAACCGGACACGACATTTTTCCGTTGCTTTGATTTTTTGAAACATCGTTCCTTACCTTCCCCAAAATCGAAAGTAATCGGAACCGTCTCTCTCTCTCTCTCTCTCTCTCTCCCTCTCTCTCTCTCTCCGCCTGATTCACATTTTTGCGTGCCTTCAACTAATCGATTGATCATTTTTTACCAAGTCGCATTGGGTTTCCTCAAGAATCTCTGCTAGCCTCCCCTAACCCTCGCTGCCAGCTACCGTACCTTCCAGTACCCCGTCCACAGCGTTGCCCACCGGAATCCCGATTGCCTCCCCGCAGCCCCCACCCATGATGGCCCAGCCCATCATGACTCCACCACCTCCTCCTCCTCCAATGTTGGCCCCGCCGGTGATCTTCAGAAAGGTGGCGGATGCTAATTTTGGCTTTTGAATACTGTAACACTGCCCTTAAAGGTACACTAAAATCTCGTTCAAAAAGTTCGGTCGCGGTAGGAAATTTGGGCTCTCTGCCGCAGCCCACCCAGCCCCTTCTTATCGCCTCTCCCCTTCCCCCTTTCCGTCTCTCCCTTGGCCTAATGGTCCAAGGCGCTGCCCCAAGCTGGCAGTCAGGCTTCGGTTTTGCTCCGCGGCGAGCGCCTACCGTAACCCTGTTTGCTATCCTACGGACGGTTACCGGCCGGTAACCAAACCAACGAGACTTTAGTGTACCTTTAACCGCTCAATATACGAAAGAACTATAGTGGTCCTGTTGCGCGCTTTTGGGGCCGCAAAAAAAGACGAAAGCGAGATCGAGCTAGACAACGAGAAAAAGAGCGAGAGCGAGCGAGAGGCAAAGAGAGCGAGAGAGAGAGAGCGAGAGACAGAGGAGAGGCAGAGAGACAGACAGAAAGACAATTTTTAGCGGGTAGACCCACGTAAAAATTTTTTTTCATGACGAACCCTGCAGGGATTTAGGGTTTTTGCGCGGATTTACGCACCCTCAAAAATGTTTCGGAAAAATGCGCTGTTTGCCGACTTTTTCGGGGGCTAATATTCGTAGGATTGGTCGGCATAAATTAGCGACGACATATGGATTTTCATACGAATTTTTAAGTACTAGTGTGCTTCGCCTAAACCTGAGCCCAAGCCTAAGGCAAGCCTAAGGTTAAGCCGAAACCTATTCCTAAGCCAAGCCAAGCCAAGCCCAAACCCAAGCCTAACCCCAAATTTCAGCAATTTATCCCGGCCATGCCCGCAGCGGTACCGATGGCGCTGCCGGTGGCAGCGCCTACCGTAGTCGCCGCCCCGGCAGCCGTGCCGGAACCGATTTACGTCGAGATCCCGCAGCAGCTCCAGCTTGAAGCCGGCAACGTGTTTGTAGCCCTAAGAATGCGATAATAACTGTCATTTCTCATACCTAACATTTCCATAACCCAACCGATCCGATCCAGCTGTCTATGTCTCTTTAAAAGCATGGAAAAGCTGGAATCCTAAAAAAAATTTTCAGGATGCCCAGCTACGCTGCCCCGCCACCGATGGCGTGAGTTTTTGTACTTTAAAGGGCTAGTAAAGGGTACGGTACTCACCAATAGTCTCTGCTCGACTGCCGGGAGAGATTTCGTAATTATAAAGGAAGCGGAACACCGGAAACTAGCCATTTTTTGGAGAGTTTTCCGGGTTTGTATATATTTGTATATATTTTATAAGATCGAGGAAATTTTTGAACATGACTAAATTACAAAAACTTATCAACCCTGCTCCTGAAAATTATCCTTGAAATAAATAGATTTGGCTGATTTTATAATCCAAAATTAAGTTATAAACTACAAAATATTAAAATTATACAATCTAAAAATATGGGTCTGGCTTATTTATTTATTCATATCTTAATTAACGCCCAAATATTAGGATGCCCAGCTACGCTGCGCCCGTCCCGGCAGCTCCTCCGATGCCACCAGCGTAAGTTGTGGACTTTCTGATCTTTGCGAGAGTGTCGCCGTGAAGGCGTATTCCGTGTGAGGATGAGGGCAGGCTAGCAGAGATTGTTGAGGAAGAGGAGAGGGCAGGCTAGCAGATATTGTTGAGGAAGAGGAGAGGGCAGGCTAGCAGAGATTGTTGAGGAAGAGGAGAGAGCAGGCTAGCAGAGATTGTTGAGGAAGAGGAGAGGGCAGGCTAGCAGAGATTGTTGAGGAAGAGGAGAGGGCAGAAGAGGACATAGTCTTCAACTATGCCGCGCCTTAAAGTATAAAAATAGGCATAAATTAATATTTCAGACCACCCGTCTACACTGCTCCGCAGGCGCCAGCGTAACGTTTTTATCCCTGCCGTTACCTTAATAATGCACAGCTTCCGAGCCTATCTACTAATGCTCCAAATTTTCTCGCAAGGCCTAGCAATATCGAAATACGTTTTTTAAATCTGACAAATTTTCGATTTCTATACATTTTTCAAAACCGATTTTTCCTTTTATGAGGATTCGACGATTTTGTACTCTTTTTGGCAGTGAAAAACTTCCATTTATTTGACGTATATAATAGTTTTTTATTTAGTTCTAACTATTTTTAATATTTTAGTATTTAATAATTATTATTTCTCAAATTTAATGAAAAAAATTTTATTCTAGACGAACTCCAAGCCTCTTGCAATTCTAATCCCTTTTAAAAAGACCCTAAAAATTAAAATTTCTACAATTTCTAGTTTTGCCGCATGGTCGGCTCAACCCGCGCTCCAATTGTGAGCCAATTTAAGTCAAATTAAAATTCCGCTAAATTCAGCTATCCCATGCCCCAGCCAACGATGCAAATGTGAGCCGACAAAAATTACAATTTTCAATATTTTGAATACTTTTTGATCCAGCCTATTTTTTCCTTTTTTTTAGGCTGGCCGTCCCGCCGCCACCGCCAGTTGTCCCAATGTAAGGGCCACGGCATAGTAGTGTAGCACAATACCGTACGGAAAAGTACGTAGCAGTACGTTAGCCGTAGTAGAGCGGATAGTTGTAGTTCGTAGTGTTTCGTAGTAGCCGAGCGTAGTCCTGAATACCTCTAAAAATTGTTAATTCCAGCGCAGCCATCCCGCCCCCTCCTCCCCAACTGTAAGCCAAAGCAAAGTATCGATTTTTAAAGCTTATTTTTAGCATCGCACTTCCGAGACCAGTTCCGCAGATGTAAGCTGATTTTTTAGGGAAAATAGCTTAACTTAATGTAGCGTAGCGTAGTGTTGTGTAGTTTTAGGAGCGTTGTGTTGCGTAGTCTAACGTTGCTTAGTATACATAGCGCATTGTTGCGAAGTCTACGTATCGTAGCATACCGCAGTCTAACGTAGGGTATCGTCGTGAAGACTACGTATCGCAGCATACCGTAGTCTAATGTGGCGCATTGTTGCGTAGTCTAGGTGACGTATTCGCGTAGTCTAGTGCAGTATTGCGTATTCTAACGTAACGTAGTGTTGCGTAGTCAAACGTAAAGTGATACTGCGTAGTCTAACCTAGCTTTACGTAACGCTCCCTTTAAAAAAAACCGTTTAGTCTGCCAGTTCCCGTCCCGCAACCGATCGCTCCAATGTAAGCCCTGAAAGCTACCGTAGCTATTTTCTACCGTCATTAGATCGATTTTTAGCGTTTTAATGATCGATACAGTTACGGTAGTTATAGTTCACCTTAGTCATGTTTGAAAAAATTAAAATTAAACCCCAAAAAAATTCCAGAGTCCCTATCGCGCCGCAGCCGGTGGCCCAGTTGTAAGGAATAGTATAGCGTAGTACCGTAGTATTCTAGTATTCGTAGTAGCACATATCTCTCTCTCTCTCTCTGTCTCTCTCTCGCTCTCGCTCTCGCTCTCTTTCTCTCTTGTCCTTAGCCCCAGGTCAAAAATTCTCAAATCTTATTTTTCCAAATTCCCGAATTTAGCGTCAACATGCCGCAATATGGCGAGGAGCCGGCCCAGGTAGTAATTTTTATTGCATAATTAAACTAATTTACTAACTAACTAAAGAAATAATTTCCTTTTTAAATGCCTAAAAATTAAACTATTTCATTTTCCTCAAGGACCCATCTCAGCTGGCCCCGGTGTATGGCGACCCGGCGCCAGCGCTGCCCCCCCGTCCCGGTCGTCCCGTCCGGCTATCAGAAGCGCTCCCGAAGCGTCAAGCTCGTCAAGCTGCACTAGGAGAAAACAGGAAAATTTGCTCAATACTATCTGTAAAAAAATTGTATAAACGTCTTTTTCTCAGTTATTTGCAGCCAATTTTCCTTGAAAACCTCGCTGAGTATCGAGATTTATCAGCAACAAGGAGCAGAACAACGAGAACAAGACCAACAAAAACGATAGGGAAATGAGAAACCCGTTAGATTGTGAGAGTGAGCGAGAAGGAGCACGAAAAATAACCCAGAACTGTGGATGAGCCGGGCAACAAAATAACAATACAACTGTTCTGCTAAAAAAAAACTAAAATCCTAAAAACTATCTGAAAATCTAAGAATTCTCTGAGCGCAGCTGCGGCGCGCGTCGCCACAACTCCGACGTGGTGATGATCGGGTCGTCGAGCGAGAGGTTCAGCAGCCCGGACGGCTTGCACACCCAGCGCCTGGAATTTTCGGGTTTATAGGGGCTAGGAAGGCAGAAGCAAGGATTTTTAAGCGCGAAAATGTCGAATAACCTCACGTGATCAATGCCGCCTGGTTCTTGGCCATCGTGTCGATCGTCTGCTGGTCGTTGGCGCTCATCTCGACGCCGGCGTCCATGAACAGCTCGTGCATCTTCATCGCGAAACGCCCCATCTTGAGGCGCTCTAAAAATCAACGGCCATTTTTGGGCTAAATTGGACTGACCACAATTCCGGAGCCACTCGTTCTGCATGTCGACGCACGCCTTCTTATCTTCGGGCAGGCTCGAGTGCTGCAGCATCAACCGGCAAAAGTTGTAGCAATTCTGCTCGTAGGCCTGGAAAAATGGGGAATTGGGTGAGCTTATTCTGCTGAATCGACAATTTCGAGGTGTTCAAAATTCAACAAGAAAGCTAACGAGCTTAGACATTAAATAAGTTTAAAGAACAGTCGCAGCCGTTTCAGCTACTCGGTCGACAAGTTTAAGCCGTTCATTAAAGATAAAGCTAGAGCCATTTCACCTATTCAATCGACAGGTTCAAGATGTTCAGGAAAAAGCTAGGAACAAAAAAAGTTCAAAGAGCTTGTTCACGTGGCTCGACAAACGGAAGACGTCCAGGTAAAAACCCGGGTTGAATGAGGTTAGATTAGCTTCTCCTGTTGACTCGACAAGTCCAAGACGTTCAAAGAATCAAAAAAAAAAATCCGACTCACCGGCTTCTTGGCCGAGATGACGAAGCGGAAGGTGGAGACGATGTGCTCCGGTGTGATGACGCCCTGAAAATGAAAAATTGGCGTTTTTCGAATGCACCCGTCCAAAACTCGCTTTATCATCCCAAAACCACTGACGTTCCATACAGTTACGCCACAAAATCCCTCGCAAAAACCACCGTACCCTATGCTCCTTGATGACGGCCTCGGCCTTGTCGTACTCCTGCATCGTGACGAGCAGCGCCGAGTAGATGGCGTACAGCCGCCCCGACGGCATTGATGTCTGAGCCTTGTGGAGGACTAAAAATGAATTTAATTTTCTTTGTAAGTGTAACTTCAAGATTTCAAAATTAATTAAAAAATTAGACGTCATTTTTAGCCAACTCACCAAACTGCAAGTCGGCCTTCTTCGAGTCGTCGCGGATGGCGGCTGTGATGGCTGCCCTAAAAAAAATAGAAAATTTTAATTTAAATAATTCTGAAAACCTCAATATCGGTAGGACGCCGTTGGACGAGTAGAACGTGGCCTGGAGTTTCAGCCAAATGTTCACCGCCGTGTTCCAGCCAAAACTAAAAAAAACGAGAATTTGAGAATATTTGTGTTTTCTATTAAAAGCCAAAGATCCGAAACTCACTGATAGAGCACCTGCTCCACGATGCCGACCGTCAGCAGCTCGTTGGCGTGAAGGTGGAGGAGGCCGAGTTTGATCATGTTGCGCAACAGCTCGAGGCTGTCCTCTACTCGCGTTTGCGTCAGCCCGGGAGCCTTGAAGCACTCGCTGAACAGCTTCCGGTACTCGAACATCGTCTCGAAGAACGTCTCGTAGCTGGTTTCGGCTGAAAATTTGAAGGTTGATTTGAAGGGTAGATTACGAGAGAGAGAGAGAGAGAGAGAGAGAGAGAGAGGGAGAGAGAGAGGGAGAGCGAGAGAAAATTTCCAGGACAACCGGAAAAAATTCCCCGCATTTCACCTACTCGTCGGGAAAAGGCGCTTCAACTCATAGCAGTAGACGATCAAATTGCGCATGAGCGGATCCGTGGCCTTATTTCCGCCATCCATATGCTCGGCCTCGACGGTCAGCTCGCTCTCAGGCAGCCGATGGTCACGCGGTTGACTCAGGCTGTAGAGGCGCTCGCGGCAAAGCTGAAATTTTGTAATTTTAATAATATCCGAGTTCAAAGATTAAATGTAATAAAAGAGATCTAAAAATGCCTATTCAGCTCATTTTTTAACTTTTCAAAATGCGAAATTAACAAAGTGACAAAATCACTACTATTCTTGAAAAGAAAGTACCCGAATCAGGTGGTAATTCTTGATCGGCGATATCGTAACGCCAGTCTCCTTCTCGACCGGCCATCGGTGTTGTTGCGCGGATCTAAACAAAAACTGATTAAAACTTTAGTTAAATTTTACAAAAACATAAATTAAACGTTTCTTCAAAGCCTAAGCAAAAAAATAAAGCGCAAAAATATTTTAAGCACTCACAGCGTGGCCAGCATAATCTGAATCTTGGGCCAGTCGAGCTGCTCGAGGTAGAGGTCGATAATCTGAAACGTAAAATTTGCCCCGGAAATCTAAAGATCTGATACCTTCGGGACAATCTCCTCAAAATCCGTGTCTTCTGGCCAGCCGTAGGTGGCGATGAAGGAATGGACTTTATCGCCGTCCTAAAAATGTATTTATATTTAATTTAAATCGATAAAAAAGAAATTGAAAAAAACATCTAGAGTAAAAAAATCGATACCTTCGTTGCGACGAAATTTTGTAGAAGGCCAAAGGTGGGCACGATTGAGCTCTTTTTCGGTTCTTGGTCCATCACGAAAAGCGGGGCGTAGGTTTTGCGTAGCCAACTGAAAACGCAAAATTAGCGGGAGAGAGAGAGAGAGACCGACATAGAACCCAAAAAACCCACTCAGCCAAGATCACCGACGACGGCCACTCCGGCTTATTCGTCTTTGCATCTTCAGCGGCTCTCTGAAAAAACCCATAAATTTTGATCGAAATTCCTCACCAACGACGTGCGCCAATTGTACAGCGTCTTCCAGATCACCTCCTGGTCAAAGCCGTAGCTCGTCAGGATGCGCACGACGTTGTCGAGTCGCGAGAATTTGCGGCCCATCTTTGTACGCTCGCGCTGTTGCTCTGAAAAATTCAGGCAATTTTTTTGGAAGCCTAGAGGGTCTCGAAATCGGGAGGGTGCATTCAACTAAAAAAAATTTCATGTAGTATATTAAAATTAAAAATACGTACATTAACAATGGACGTAAAAGGATTATTGGTTCTTTCGCATTATCGGAGGACCAAGTTTTTTTTCTTAGGAGCTAGTTTTTCAAGTAAAAATAGTCAAGCGTTTCTAAATGCTTTTTCACTATTCCTAAACGTCAAAACTTTACAAACTTGCATTAAAAAATATCGATTTTTCGACCGAACATGGCCGATTTTTTACCAAATTTTCGACATTTTTCACAGTTTTTAGATAGTTTTGCTAGTTAAAATATAGTTATATACTACTGAACACACCATTACAACACTTTCTATTATGTTTCTAGGCATTTCTAGACTTATACAAAAAAATTCCGTCCCCGCCCGCTAACGACCTAGAGCCGGAAATCCCTAGCCAAAAACCCTTACCATACAACGGCTGCAGGACCAGCTTGGCGAACGTGCGCTCGTCCAGCTTGGAAATATCCTTGTAGCCGAGGTTGGTGCACCGGAAGAGGTATTTCAGCCGCTGCTCGGTGTCGTCGCAGCTAAAAAAAAACTGGTTAATACATTGAATTAAAATACTTGGCAAGTAGGGGTAAAATCAGGTGATGCCGTTCTCGTTCCAGGTCCACATGATCGATGAAAGCCCGGAAGTGGTCGAATCTAAAAGAAAAAAAAAATTCATAAAAATAAATAAATTTTGCAACCTCTGATCGATCGTAAAGTCCTTATACATCAAAATCGACTTCAGAATCTCATCGTAAAGACGCTTTCTAAATTTAATCGATTATGATTATTTTTATTCTATTTAATCCAACCCAATCTCCGGGATATTCTTCAACATCACCATCGCCCGATCGCACACCTCTCGAATTACCGGGATCGGCACCTCGGCTGGAAAGAAGCTGCGGCAGAGCCGGGTGACGATCTGGTCGACGAGGACTAAAATTATTTGCTATCAGAATGTCGAAATTTCAGAATATCGCAATTTCATAATATCGAAATTCAAATAACCGAAATTTCAGAACATTCAAGTTGATAAAATCGAAATTGATAATGTAGAAATTTAAAAATACCTATATTTCACAAAGTCTAAAATTCAGCATGCCGAAATTGCTCATGTCGAAATTTCATAACGTAAAAATTTAGATCTGGACATACAGAAAAATCGATCGTCGTGTAAACATTGTGAATTTTTGAAATTTGAGACTTAGACAAAATTGGATTAAATGTAATTCGATTAAATTTAGAGTCTATTTAAAAATATGGCTACTTTAGTCATTTGAGATGCTTCTTCAATTTTTACCTAGACGCTGTTGGTTCTGGATGAACGTCCGGACCTTCATCGCGTCCTCAATCAGGGCGAGGGCCGAGTAGTAGTAACCGTGCGTGATGTGGCGCTCAATCTGCACAAATTTTAACTTGTTTATTATCCAAACCCTTACCTCTCTCGTCAACCTCTTGAAAAAGCCGGCCGGGTGCGAGCCGATCTCTTTGAGAAGCTGAAAAATTTTGGATTTAAAAAGTTTTACAAAATCTACCTTTTCGATGAGGACAATATCTGGCGCTGCTGCTTCACTGGGTTGTGATGCCAGAAGCCAGATGACGTCAAAGCAGCCGTCGGCTGACAATGGGCTCTGCTTATGCGGTTCGGAGGCGAGAAGCTGAAAATAGGTCTTTCTCTCGCTTTAGAGAGAGAGAGAGAGAAAAAAGAGAGAGAGAGAGAGAGAGAGAGAGAGAGTGTAGCTTATAACTCTAAAGCATTACATTTCTCAATTCCTTGGTGTTCCCTTGAGCAGCAGCGGCTTTTGCCAGCGCGTCGAAAGCTAGCGATCTTGCCTCGACGCCGTAACGACCTTCAGTTTGCTAAAAAAAGCTCATTCGCGTTGCTTTTCGGTTAAAAATCTTCTATTTTAAAATTTCTGTTGCAATTTCGATTTCAAAATAAAATTAACGAAGAAAAAAGAAAAGGCATAAAATTGTCGAGCATACCTCATACAACGACTTTGCCTTCTGCCAATGCCCGCGCACCGCAAACCCGTAGATGATCGAGGCGTTGCACTTGTCGTCCAGCAGCAGCCCCCGATTCGCCAAGACGTACGACTAAAAATCCAATTTTCAAAAAAGAAAATTCCCTCAAAACCCACCAAATTCTTCGACAAATCGATTTCCCCGCGGCGAGACAGCTGCTCGAGCAAGAGTTGGAAGGACTCCTGGTTCAGCGTCAGTTTCCGCTTCTCCTCTGCTTCCTAAGAACAACATCTCGGTTTCCTGAACTTTACAAACCGCCATCAAAGCAGCTGCATCGAAATCGGCGTCATTTTCTAGCAAGACGCGAAGGTAGGAATTGAAGCCGTGCACGTCTAGGGGGATTTCTAAACCAAAATTTATTTATTTTTTTATTGATTGATCGATTTACCTAACGCATCGAGGGCGTTCAGCATGCGCTGCAAAATTATCTGGCGCTTCGACTTGTGGATGTTGGACATTGTGCGGCCACATGTGTATATTATTGTAGGGACCCAACGCGTCGAGTTGGCCCGGATGGCGGCGACGAAGGTTTCTGAATATGATCAAAGTTATGTTGACTTGTGAAGCCTTACAAGAAGATTAAAAGGTTCAATTGCATTACGGGGGGACAAATTTTATTTTCTTAGGCCTCAATTTTTTAAATATAAATAGTGGACTTGTTTCTAAACTGCTTTTTACTATTGCTATTTTACTCTTGTTAAAGTTTTTAGATAATCCCTCCTATTAAGTTAGTAGACTTGTCTAAACTTGTAGAAAAAGTTCTTCCCGCTGATAATGCCTGATAATGCGAAAAAACCTACAAATTTAAAGTCTCAACAGGAAATTGAGTCAAAAATATAGCCCCATTTCTCGCAAAAAGCATTTTTTAGCCCTGTTTTCGAAAAACTCAAAAGTTTACCTTGTTTTTCCTCCAGCGGCTTCAACAAATCGCAAAACACCGATTCAGCCGCCACTCGTTGATTTTGTCGCATATGGCTTTCGATGCGGTTGAGCTCGACTTCAGGAGCATTTTGCTAAAATACACGATTTTTAACGCCCTTTAGCAATTTCTACCCTTGGCGGCCTCTCCGTCGTCCCCTTCACGCCCTTGTAATGGCCAATATTGATCAACTTCGCATCGGCATCAGGTAAATTCGGCACGGCCGGTCGTCGAAAGATTGTGGAGTGGCGGTGTTGGATTGGGCTAAAAATAGGTTCTAAAAACTGTACATTTCTCACCAGACGTTATCAGCAAGTGACTGCGCGGCGCTCCTTTGTAAAAGCCCGGTAAATCCGGAAAAATATCGGGCATTTCTTATGTGGGACTGCAGGCGCATCGCTCAGTCAGCATTCCGGGGGTAAGAGAAGTCGTTTTAGATGCTAAAAAATTAGATTTTCATGAGAGAACTGAAAAAAGGGAAAAGTGAGCTTACAATGTTATTTATCTGATTTTCTATTCTGAGAACAATTTATAAGGCAAAATTTTGTATAATCAATAAATGCCTAGTACTTCATAGGAAGCATTTTCATAGTTTTTAGTAAAATAAAACTATAGTTAAACTATCCATTTTGTATTTTTTAATAAATTTTTGTGAAGTTTTGACGTTTAGGAATAGTAAAAACTTTAATGACAATAACAATTTATATCTATATAATATATAATACTAAATTTATTTAAATTTATATAATATATAATTAAATAAATTTATATAATACTAAATAGAAAATGCAATAGTGTATCTCAAAATGCATTATTTTAGCTTGCTATTAATATTGAACCTTAAATTAGTTTTTCAATTTCAGTTTTTATTATTATTTTTGCTATCTATTTTTCGCCCCACACATTTTGAAGACACGGCAACGCGAGAGTCCTATCGACACGGCTTTCGGCCCGTTCCGCGGTCACTATTGACCGGCTTTGCTTCCCCCCGGCCCCCACGGTTGCCAAATTTCTTGTAAATCTAACTAAAATACCACTTTTATTAAACGTTTATAAGCTGATTAAGCTTTTCCTCGTTTTCAGCACCCCAAAAAACTTATCCCCGCCTAGATTTTTCCGTTGTAAGCGCCGCAAAAGAAGAAAATTGATAAACTTTATTTCTACAATTCTCTTCTTGTTTTCGCCAATAACTCGTTTTTATCCACTTTCTTTAGTTAATGACCTATCCGCCTCCGCAAAGCACCCCAACGAAAGATGTGCTCGAGGTGCTGCCGTTCGTCCAGCGATGCTGCACGCGCGGGGTTGGTTGTTGAAAAGTGGCTTATCATGGGCTTTAGGAAATCACGCTGACCGAATACTATCGCGATTGGCCAGTGATTCTGTGTTGCGAGATGGCGATGAAGGTCGGGCTGAATTTGGTCTACAAGCTGACCACCTACGTGACGCCGGAGGGCCCTAAGAGTGAGTTTAACAAGGATCTCGTTGGATGGGTATAAAGACGGTTTGAAGAGATAAAATAAGGAGGACGAAGCGGAAGCTCTTTCGGAATATCTACCCTTATCACACTGGGCTATTATTGCGATTTTTTTTCGCATTGTCGCCGGGGAAGACAATTTTTCTTACGATCTAAAGCTTAAAAACTTCAGGGATCAAAGAACTTGGTTAAAAAATAGCAAAATATAGATTTATCGATGAAAAACGGCCAATATGTCGTCTTTTTCAAATATTTCAAGATTTTTTTAAAGTTTTTGTGCTTTTAATATCGTTTAAACTTACGAAAAAGAGCATAAAAATACTATATTTCATTACCAGGACAACAAAAATCTGTAACTTTCAGGGGCCTGCACGCTTTGGATGACCGGCATCAGTTTCCGGTTCATCGGCTTCCACGACTATGTGACGTAAGAGAGAGCTGCATTTTTCGAAAATAAGACTTATTTAGCGCGACAATTGAATGCGACGTGGTACGAGAAGCGCTGCGTGGTCTCTACCTCAATTTGATTAGCGTCGGCGCGGTCCCGAATGGGGTGGCTCGGTACGGTTTTTCTTTTATTCACTAAAACGTTCCTAGGCTTTGCTCTCGTTATGACATGTTGCGACCAGTGGTGTTGATGTCGATCCCCTGGTTTCAGCATATGCAGGCGAAAATGGAAGATCGTAAGGGTTTCCTGGATTTTACGATTGTTTCGACGTTTAGCGATCTTTATCGAGCTGAAATATGACAATCCAGAGAATGCGATTGAAGAAGAGCGCATCATGCCGAAGCTAGCCGTTTTCAAGGTTAGAGACATCAGCTTTTTACGGTGCTGTAAGAAATTTTCAATGTTAAAAAGAGCAAAAAAAATCGATCTATCGACCAAAAGTGCCGTTTTTTTGCTAAAATTTGAACGTTTTTTTAAGATTTTTAGATAATTTTCCTAGTTAAATCTAGTTGTCTTTACTGAAAAGACTATCAAAAAAATTCAATATTAGTATTGAATGTTTTAATAGACATTTCTAAAATTATACAAAAAAGTATGCCCCCCGATAATGCGAAAGAACCCATAAGCCGATTATTTTAGGGCTACATGAAAAAGTGGTCTGAGCGTTTCTGGACGAAAAAGACGACGATGCGCTGCCCTTCCTATGCTGATCTCTCACCTTTAAAAGTATTTCTAGATTTATCACCATATCGTTTGTTTTTTTTAGGCAATGAACGTGCTCGTGCTCGCCATCCCCAACGATCAGTTCAAAGCCGTCTATGTAAGTAGTTTTTTAGGTCTTCTATAATTTTGATGTAGGACAATTCCGGCTGGAAGCTTGGAAAACTGCTGTATGCCGACATGTATCTCCCGGATCCGGACGACCCGCAGTTGAAACGTACTCAGCTTCATGTAAGGAAATTATTTTGCAAGGTAATTATTTGAATTTAGAAAGCGCTCGACACCCCTCCGGCGGCAGCGCCTCATCCGTTGGTGGATGGCATCCCGGAAGAAGTCATTGCAGAGGTGCTTTCAAAATTATTATGATTTTATTTTTTTTTAGAACATCCCGCCAATGCAGCTGCACGATCACGTCGATTTTATCAACGGAGGACCGGTAATTTTAGTTCTCATGAATTATCGGGGGTGGGGGGGGGGGGTTAAATTTTTTTGCATAAGTCTAGAAATGCCTAGTGGCTTAATTGAAATTATTTTAATAATGTTTTTAGTAAAATTAAACTATTTCAACCAGATAAACTAAATATTTCAAAATGTCGAGGTTGTGGTAAAAACTGACCATTTTGGGTCGACAAATCTATATTTTTTTGATCAAAATTTGTAACGTTTTTACGTTTAGAAATAATAAAATTCAAAAATAATTCCGCTATTTATCTTTCCAAAATTAGATCTTAGGAAAAAATTGTTTCCAACCCGAGATAAGGTGAAGTACCGTAATTTTTTGATCAAGGTTAGCGATTAAAAGTAGCTTACAAAGCATAATATTTGTATGTAATTATGGAACCAAACAATAACTCTTTGTATCCATTACATTGTTAATTTCTTTAATTTCCAGGTCGGCGGCGTGAAAGTGGCTCCGGAACCGCCGCGCATCCAGATGAGACGCGACCCGAAAGCCCTCGAGCGCTACGATACACTTTACGTCGGGGCGGAGCGGCCGAAAGACTTCCAGGTCACGATACGACAAGAGGAGAGGGTGCGTTTGGAGCCTATCTAGCTTAGCTTGAAGCTCTTCTAAACTACCTAACGCATGTTTTTCTTCAGCGCGGTCTCTCCTACCTGGTGCACAACATCTCGGACCGCGAGCTGGACCCGAAACGAGCCCGCGAAAAAGAAATGGAAACTGTGATGGATATCCTGCGACCATCCGGTATTTTCAAAGTTATTTTAATTTACTTTTTTATATAGGCGTCCATGCTAGCCAAGTGGAAATTGTCGGTCGGGTGACGATCGAGAGCTTCCGGGGTTACTACAAGTACCCTTCGCTTCACATTCGTCTCCTGCCGGGGGCTCCACCCATTGATGCTCAGGTATAAGGAGTCTCTCTCTCTCTCTCTCTCTCTCTCTCTCTCTCTGTCTCTCTCTCATTCTCTCGTTCGCTCCCAATTTCACAAAACTATACAGCAAATCCATCGCGCCCTCCAAAATGACCGCCGTCACAGCAAGCGTGGTTTTGGCGTCTACACCAAGGCCAATGAAGAAGACGCCGGAAAACATGATGAGGTAGCGTATCCATGCTTAGCATATAAGTGCGAAAAGTGTTTTATAATCAGGTACACAAAATATAATATTTTTAGCGCGAAAAGCGGAAGAAAGACGACCGAAGCCACAGGAGACGCAGCCGAAGCCGGAGTCGCAGCCGTACGAGAGACCGCAGCCGTGACCGCCGTCGCAACGGACGGGAATTCGGGGATCGTGGAAGGAATGACCATACTAGGTAGGCGTATTTCTAGGCTTTCATTTTACTTGTGAATTAATATTTGATTTATTGTCTAATTTAATTACTTTTAATTTTTAATTTTAGCGACTCCATCGAGGTCATCATGGACAAGGGACCAACGGCGTTGCGAACGGTTCAACCGGTGTGTTTTTGGGCTTTAGATTTCTGATGTCTTTTTCTACAGCTCCTTATTTTTGATTTATTATTACTTCTCATCTTTAGAAATTCGTGCCCGACCGAGAAATGTGCGCGCATCGGATCAAGAAGTTTGTGACGAAAATTGCCGAGTCGGCCGATTGCAAATTGATGCTCAGTCATGGTATTTATTTTATTTATTGATTTGTTTGTTTGTTTGTAGTTATTGATTTATTTTTGCTGCTCGGAAAAAGAATCGTTTTAGCGAACGGCCCCCGATCGGTCAGCTGCCAGGCCAAAATGACCGATATCCCCTTCATGTTCATTGGCGCCTATGGGGTTGCGGTGGAAAAGACGTACGTTCATTTCTATTTTTGTATTTATTTATTTTTTGTGTTGGATTAGTAAAATTAGATTTTTTTTTTCAGTGCGGCTGAGAACCTTGCCCTTGTGAGCCTGATGAGCAAGATGATCGAACTTGGCATTTTGCCGGAAGTGTTCATTGAATTGATCTCCAGTTGTGATGTGAGTTTTTGGGATGAATTTTTGGTTTAACTTTCAATATGTTTTTTTTTCGAAATTCCAGCTAGCTATCCTATCCTATAAGCGAGAAAAGTATGTCTGTTTTCTGTAATGAGGATTTCTCGGCCGTGAGGCCGAATTTCGAGCTGATTTTTGGCATGAAGGTGGAGAAACACATTTGTCAGACACGCATTTTTTGTTTTGCGAAATTCTTTCATTTAACGGTTTTACAAGCAAAATAGTGAAAATCCTTAACAAAATGGGTCAATGGCTGTGGTGTCCGGAGCATAACTCGATTCGCATTTGGAATTTCGAGGTGAAATTTGGACCTGTTATGTATTCGATAGTGGGGATCACGCGCATCTTATTATCTTTACAAATTTTCTGCAGATTCAGACTAAAAAACTTAATTTTGTAAAGTGACCAGAGGGCCTCCCTTCCGGGGCATTGGATCGGCCTTTTCTGTGCCTCCCCGCCCCCCTTTCCCCGGAACAGAAGAGGGCTTCCCGCCGCCTGTTCCCATCTACCCCGTGGTGTAGTGGATTTACGTCCGGCCTACCACGCTTATAGTCGTGGGTTCGGATCCTGGGCAAATCCAACTTTTTGCTTTTTGGTAGTTCAGCAACGAAACATATTTCTAGGCTCTCGGTATGCGAGGTTTAGGCCTGGCTCTCGCTCTAGCGCCGCAGGCCCAAGAGAAAGTCCTTGCCCAGGCTCTCGCGCCGCAGGCCAGATCCTGGAGAAAAAGCAGTAACTAGCGCCGCAGGCTCAAAGGTTCTAGCGCCGCAGGCTAAAAGAAGAATGTATTCAAATTCATGATTCCTAGACGGGGTCCAGTGGAAAATGGCCGCGAAGCGGTCTTTTTCCACTGGTTGTGAAAATAAGCATATTCCCGTTTGATTTATCCCTTTAAAAAATGTTTTCGAATTTAGAAGAAGAGATTTGAGTTTTGAATAGCATCTAAATTTTTTCTATGTAATTTTTAGGAATGGCTCGAGCCGGCGTTCCGGGCCACCACCGCCTGCATGAACTACGTGAAAGCCGTGCTGAAAAGCCGTAAGTAGTTTCCTAAATTTTAAGATAAATTTTTCTGTTTTTAGCCGTCTACGCGGGACTGCTCGCCGAATTGGCCCAACTAGAACAGGCCGGCCAGTTCTTCCTGCCGCCCCAGAACCCGCACCATGTAATTTTTTGAGCTCAACTGGCCAAACGGCTTTTTCTGATTGCACCCGATTTTTGGCCCATTTCCGGGGCCCCTACATTGTTCGCGTTCATTTTTTGGTGTTGTTTCGAGCAGCCCCGATTTCAGGAGCAATTAACACACATCTTTGCCGACACGATCCGCCGATTTTCCGAGAACCACTGGGCGAATACGATCGTGATCGCACCCGGAAATGCACCGATGCCAGAGGTGCGAGCTTTTTTAGGGTGTTTGAAAATCACTATAAGATGTCGACGCCGGTGAAAATATTCCACTACCATTCCCCGGAAGCGCGCGCCATCCGGGAAAAGGAGAAGCTGCTCAAGGAAAAGGAGGAGCGCCGCGAGAAGGAGGCGAAAAGAAAGGAGAAGAAACGGGATAAGGATCGCGACCGGAGGAGGCGGTAGTTATTTTAAAACTATAGTTTTTTAAGATAATTTGCCTCTTTTGCATTATCGTGGGGACCAACCTTGTTCTTACGATCTAATTTTTCAAATACAAATCGAGGAAGTGTTTTTTGTAATGGTTTTTTATATGTCCTAAGCGTGAAAACTTTAAAATTGGAATTTAAAGTAGGCAGAAAGTCGATTTTTTACCAAAATTTCGACTTCTTAAAAAAAGGTTCTCCCCGCCCCCGATAATGCGAAAGAACCGATAATTCTGCCTTCTCATAGGCGCAGTTATAAAACCGTCAATTCTATCTCTTCGTCTCCTTTCATTCGAAAATCTTTATTTCAGTACCAGAAGCCCATCCACGCCTCCCAAAAAGCAGTCGCAGCCCCCGTCGCAGTCTTGGCGCGCGAAATCCCCGGAGGCGGCTCCAATGGAAATTTCATCAGATCACTCGTTGGTTTTTGAGCCTGATTCTTTGATGTTAGGGGGCTAGTTCGTTATCGCGGGAGGTTGCGCGCACTCTCCTTTCTCGATAGAGCTATTGGAAGTCCCTCCAGAACGCTCCCCCCCACTAATGAATCAGAACCGAATTCAGGAATAGCCGAAACGAAAATTTTCTCCTCCGCTCAAATTTACCTACTTTATCATTTCTTTTAGCGTGGTGGCCATCTCCGACGATGAGCAAGAGCGCAGTTCCGCCAGCCCGCCGATGGACGAGGAAGAGCTGGTGCGCCCCATTTTCCAAAAAATCTTTATTTGAGACTCAGGAGCGCGAGACGCTGCGCAAGATCAACGAGCGCGAGGCCGAGCTCGAGCGCAAGAACAAGGAAATGGAGCGCTGCCTGGAGCTGTACAATCGAGGTGCCGACATGAGGCTTTTTGGCGGCGTTTTGTCGATATAATTGTTTTATTGGTTGTTACGCATTATATTTTGTTAGGCCAAATGACGATGGACGAGGTGATGGCACGGATCAAGGAGGTGGACGACGACCTGGAGAAGCAACGGGACGAAGAGGAGCGGCGAAGGAAGAAGGACAAAAAGCGCGATCGTGAGAAGAAATCGGATAAGCCGAGTTCTCGTCATGCGGAAACGGCGAGGTCCGTAGTGTTGTTTTGGCGGTTTTTTTATGTTACTGGAAGCGAGCTGGCTGTGGATTCCGGATTGGAATCTTGCATTATCAAGATTGTATAGATTACAGCATTTTTATCAATTTTTGGAGTTGATAATTCTAATAATCTTAATTCTTGCCGGAAATTGTGCGAGAAGGCTGTTTCCTCATCTTTTTATCCATATTGCGCCTCTGTTGGGGTTACGAAGTTTTCCGATTTGCAAACACTTTTTGGAATATCCTTTTCCGAAAATCGTATTTTCGAAAAGTCATATTTTTCCGATCAGAATTTCGAAAAATTTGCGTGCAGCTATTGATGGGAAATTTCCGCAAAGGGTGTGTTATATTATTCTACCTTTTCTTCTATTCTTTACTCTTTCACTTAGTTAGTCTCAAAATTCAACCCATCCATTCGATTACGTTAGCCTACACACCCACCCTATCGACACGGCCTGACTCGAATGATGGGGCTGATAAAGCCATCTGATAAATCAAAGAGAATTTCAGCGAAAGTGAAACAAATATAACTAAAACTCATCCAAAAGTAGACAAATTCCTAACAAAAATTAAAATACTTTACTATACAACTAAGAATTTAACCTTTTGAACTAGAAAACATCAGGGATCCAGCTGAGGAGACCCACCCTGATGTTAAACTAGCCTGTCTTGGATAAGGGTCGAAACAGGCACCCACTTTACATTTTTTCTTCTTTTAGCTCTTCTTAGAGCAACCCGCCATTCCCTTGTGGTTTGGTTCACACGGCTTTGCCGTTCGCTCGCTTGCGAGTTCACACCCTTCGGGGTTCCGCAGGCTTCGGCCTGTTAAGACTCCCACTGTTCGCAGTGTGGAGTTTCCTTTCATCTTTTTACTTCTCATATATTACTTTTCTCTCTTTATTATAGCAATTTAAATTTTTCCAATTTTGATTTACGAACGTGATTTTCGAAAAAAATGATTGTCAGCCAATTTTTTTCATGATGGCCGAAAACGGCTTTCAGGATCTTGGCATTTGTTATTTGCTTTTTCGAATACCTGCAACTTTTTTGCAGGCCGAAAAAGAGCGCGGAAGACGCGTGCGGGCAGCGCAAAGAACATCGCAACCCGTCGCCGCCACACGAAGATGAGGTTTGTCGAATTTTCATTTTTGAAACGCCTCCTAGAAGCGCAAGCGGCACCGATCCCGTTTCGACATGTTGGAGGAGATGCACACTGCGCCGTCGAGCGTCGCCCAAATTAACCCGCCCGCCCAAATCAACCCTGCCTACGTGCCGGCGCCCAGCATTGTTCAGCCGGCTCTAGCTACAAATCAAATTCCGCCACAGTACGGCATGATGCAACAACAGCAACAAGGTCCCACCACGTCGTATGCCGGCTACCAGGCTTATCCGCCGGTGATGCAGGCCCCGGCCGGAATTCCCCAACACTTGCCGCGTCTCCCGACGCCGCCCCCGATGCCCCCGCCCGGCTCGTCGGCCAATCAGATGATGTACGGAAGAGACCCGATCGCCGAGATGGCCCAACACGAACAGCAGAAGTTGGCCGAGAAGATGGCGCTGCTCAAGCGTTTGCACGACTTGGACAGGTGTGTGGATTTTGAAAGTGATAAAAATTTTAAAGCGGCAGAAAGCTCTTTTCTATTGGTAGATGAGCTCAAGCTGAAAAACTAATGGACTTCGAACCTGGCGGCTTTGCGGAATAAAAGATGCCAATTTTAGTAGTGTTTTTCTTGAGTTTCAGTAAACAAAGTTCAAAGTTTCAAAGAAGATGATATTTTTACGTGAAGTTTCTTGTCATTGATTTTTAACTTTCAATCCGTTTTATGCGAAAGCATAATAGGCTTTTTAGAAACGTCACGAAATTTTTTGAAATTCTGTGTTAGCAGAGAGAACAAGCTGATTTTTCTAGATCTTTGTCGTCCAGAAGAAGCTTCCGGAATTAATTTTGCATTTTGCTATTTGTTGGAGATGAAAACAGAATTTGAAAAATTCAGATTGAGCGAAAAACTGGGCTTTTCTCTCAACTCTTTTCATTCGTATTTCTAAGAGGCTTTTCGTATGAAGCCACCAATTTATGTTATCGTTTCAGGGAACTCGGCCAGCAGCCGCCAGCCTCCAGCATGGCGCCAGTTCCCGTTGCTCAAAATGCCTATCCACAACAACATCCTGTGATGAACCAACCGGGCTACTTCCAGGCCATTCCCGCCCAGCAGCAATACGTTTCGCCGTGGCCGGCGGCGCCCACCGGCCCGGCCAATATTTCTATCATCGACTCGGACAGTTTTGCGACAGGGGACAAGAAGAAGATCTACCGCGAATCGTTGCCGGACTACGTCCCGGATTGGTTAGTATTTTGAGACTTTTCAGGAGCTTTGAAGACTTTATTTGGAGTCGGCAAACTTCCCACCCCTCGATTTAATGAAATCCAATGTCCAAGAACGACAAGATTTTCGCATATTTTGTCAATTTTCTCTATGTTTTACAGGCCTTCCAGGAGTTTTGAAATTAAGGCAGGAGTTTTGAAATTAAGATCATTTCCAGGAAACCAGGAAAATTTTTTACTTTTCGGTTTGTTAACTAATCACGACGATTTTCAAATTTTCGGAGCAGGATTTTGCAGCTGCGAAACTTCCGGCGCGTCGATTTAATGCAAGGTCCGGTTTACTAAGCGGTGTGCCGTTTCGGAAAGGAATTCATCTATGTTCAAAAACAGGGAAAAATTATGAGATTTAGAATTTTCTAAAAAAATTTTTGTGCTCAGGTGCATTCACTTGATCAACGACCGCGAGGGCGTGACGGCGGGATATCTGAAGAAAATTTGCTTAGCCGTCAAGGATAAGGACGAGCTGCTGCGGCTGATCAAGGAGCCAAAGGTGCTAATTAGCTTTCTAAAATGTTATATTGCGATTTAATGGCCTAGATTGTCAGATTCCACCTGTCACTACCACTTTAAAATATTTTCTGTCAGACGTGCCACGTCCACGACATCACCGCGATGCCGTGCCCATTCCACCGGCACGTCGGGCTCCACCACAAGATGTGCGCAGGGTCGTTGCCGTGGTCGCGCCGCGTGAGGCTCGCCGACCTCAACGGCATTTGCATGGACAAGCGGGTCAGTGGCTTTTTTAATGATTTCATGTTTAGTGAAATACAAATCAAGGCAGAATTGAGCGGTTGTTGAGTTCAAAATGATGAACGGATTTTTAGTCATCCGAGCTGGTCTAACAAAGGGACTTTTTAGTGACAACGAGTTTCCCTACGAAACCAGGCCTATCTTATGCCGAATTTTTCGCTGATTCCGACCCCCGTTTGAAAATCTGCGAAGCGATCATATTCAAAAAGTTGTAACATTTTTCAGGGCAAAAAAAAGGCAAAAATTTCTCGAAACGAGGGTCGGAATCAGCGTAAAATTCTGCACAAGGCATGCTGGGTCCCGTACGGAAACTCTATTGTCGAAAAAACCTTGAAAAAGTTTTTTCGTGGAAGAAGATTATAAGAAAAAGAAAGCAGGGATCCTGGATGAGGTGAAGAATAATTGAAAAATGGCCCGGCAAATTGGTTTGACCTTTGGGCAGGCGTCATTTGTCGTATTTCGGAAGCCAAGAAGAGGAAATCGAAGAAATTATTCTTTCTAAAGGACGACGATTTCATAAACCACAGAAGAAACGAAAGAAGAATTTTTTCGTGAATTTCCTATCCGGTTTGCGGCAGTTTTCTAAAATTTCATATTTTTAGCAAGTTGCTTCGTCATGGTAACCTATTTCTACCGTCTGATGGGATTTTTAAATAGATTCTTCTGCTCATGATGTCACCGGAAATTGAAGCTTTCGAAGCCCTTTTTAAGGATAATTCAGGGCCGTTTTTTCACTTTCGGCAACACATAAAATTCTTGTTATCGTAGCCGGTTCCCTGAAATTTCGGGAGTTTTCCGGTCAAGCCTTCGGCAGCCACTAAAATTTATATATGGTTTTTTTCGGAAGCAGCTTCTTATTTTTCTGCTAGCTCAGCTATTTTGGCTATATCGTTTTCCGGAAGCGCTTTTCCTGAACGGTATAGGACCGAGAATGACAAATTTTCGAGTTTATTTCCATAAAGTGTTTTTATCAAATTTCCGGTATGGAAACTCCATTTTTGGCTTTCATAACCGGTCCCCCTTCCAGGTTTGCATCAAGGCTCACCAGGGCAACTGTCACATCGACATCCAAAAGTGCATTGTAAGCCTTTTCCAGGTCAACCCTGAAAAATCCTCTTTTAGAGTTGCCAGCAGCCGCACTACATCGTCTGGTGCGTGCAGCGCGCCAAACAGCAGGGCCTCTACGACGTTTGATAGCGTCACCGGTTCTCCGGCAAGCCGTCCCCTCGCTCGTTGTTTTGTGCTTGTCGTTTTCGTATTTTTGTTCATGTTATCATCGGGTTCTGTTTGAAAATGGGCTATGCTGCGTGTTACTATGGATTACGCTGACACCGGAACATATCTTACCTGTTATCTCATATAGCGGATCGCGCACCTCGCGCCCGTCGTTCAATAAACATTGTTTCTTGCTGCTGGAGTAATATTTTAATCGATATTACAGTAATATACTGTAAGATACTTTTATTATCTTTTATTCATTTTTGTTTTGTGCGTTTTAGGTCGAAATACTTTACAGGTGGATTGGAATTTTTGCGCGATCGTACAGTAATACGAACTGTATGCTATACCTTTCTACGGTTTTATCAGGTTTTTTTATTAGGGCGACATTGGTACTGGGGTCTTAGCAGGGGTATGGGACTAATTTTTCAAAAATGTAAGGCGTTTTTATAGAATTTTGGTAGAATAAAAATTGTTTTAATCTGATTTTACACAGTTTTTCTATGGAATTAGCTGATAAAACAACTTATAAAACTTTTCGACATTTATGACCAAAAATTTGTGGAAAATGACCCAAAACGACCAAAATTTTCGAATTTTCGAAGCTTTTAAAAATATTTTTGTAACTTTCTAGGGATCAAAAACTAAAGAGATCATGAAAGGCGACTAGTTTTATTATTAACTATCTATTATTATTAAGCGGAAAAACAAAAATTAGTTTAGCGTGTTAACAGCCCAGTACCTAATCACTTTACAAGTGCTTTTAATTTTGACGCGATACAGTACTTCTACTGTATCTAATACCTTTAAAAGGTTCTATCGATTGATAGCAATTTCCAGGTCAAATTGCCTGCATCTGGCGCGCTAGGTTTATTCGCGGCATTAATCGGCATATTTTCACCTGCTGCCTCTGCCACGCGTTTTTATACTTATTAATGGCTGCCGGCCAAGTCTGTCACCCTAAAAAATCACTGGCCAGGTGAAAAGCGCTCTCTTCTTTTCTCGTATCCACGGAAGGCTATGATATATACTTCTCTAGAACGAATTCTACACTAACAATCTCACTTTGATATTCATCGCTGAAATGCGCTTTCCTTGCTTTTTTCTGATCCCCCGAAAACGTAGAATTCTTGGATTTCTCTAGAATCGATAATCTCTGCTCTGTACGCTTTCCTTCTTCATTCTCATCTCTGCGAAGGCTTCTGTTTTCCATTCGTGCCCCTCGTCTGGGCCTTATTCAATTGCCAATTTACAGGTACGAAGCCGCACCTTCGGCCTCCCTCAAATTTGCTGACCGGACACGATGGATTTCCAGTCTCCATTTCTGCGGAACCCCGCACCCGGGATGAGTGAGTTTTCTTTTCGTCTGGTTTAAAATGGTCTGGCAGCAGTATTTGGGTAAAGACGCGTAGTATAATATTGCTTGACACTGAAAACCACTAGAAATTGCTTGTGATGTGTTTTTATTAATTGGAACTCTCCTAGCTAAAGATTTAAATCGAATTTGAGGCGAAGATTCTTGATATTTTCTTCATATTGCTGTGGAAGTAGCTGACGACAGTGCGTGGAATAGTAGAACAAGATCCTTCTCTTGGCACTGAAATCCGGGGATATCTCTTTTTTTGACGTTTCCGGCGACGTTTCTATTAAATTTCACGTGAGAATAGAGGGTCGAGATTTTCAGATATACGAAATTGTTCTCTTATTGCTTTAAAATTCAATGACCCCGTTGCGATGAATGGCATAACGATTTTTTGCTTTGAAAAACCTTGGGATAGACCATTTTGTGCTTCGAAAAAACAAATATTTCTTAAATTAATTTTCATCTAAAAACAGAGGCGTCCGTTTTTTTGTTTGTTTTACTGCCTTGGCCTTCCAATTTGCTAAGCAAGCCCTCACATGCGGAGGCGCGCATGATATTGCATGGGACGCGACGCCCATCCCGGAGGGCCATTCCCGAGATGTCAGCCGACACATCCCTCCATCCCTCCCGCCCTTCCCCCAAACCCAGCGACTACACGCGTCATGATCCTAAAGCTTTTCCGGGGCACTGCTGGGCCCCCGGCCCGACAATCGATATCTTTCCGCCCGGGGGGGCCCATACGGAGTCCAAGGGGGAGGGCCCACCCCCATTGAACTTTTGAGCCACCGCCCCCGAATTCCATTCTGAAGCGCCCCCAGAGCTGCCACATATTTTCCGGGCAGTCGTTGGGCTTTGTTTTGGCGCCTTTCTCCATACTTTTTGTCTGTGACTACTGATTTTGGAATTTTTGAAATTTCGTAAAGTTTTTGGTGTTTACGGAATTTGCGAGTTGGGAAATTGCAATCCCTTTTCGAGAGAGACTACGCTTCACCGTTTTTTGGATTCTCAGCTATTCTTTTTTGGCCGAATACTCGGCTTTTTCGAAGCTTGACCTTGCCTAAATTTTTTGGGGGTTTCAGGAAATTTGAGAATCTATGAAAATGCTATGCTTTTCCGGAGCCGAGCGAAAATAACGTAGTTTTGAATTTTAGAAAACCGAGGTTTGGGTATGCAAAAAAATACCCGCTAATCTCCACTCAAAACTCAAACTCTGGCTCATAAAGCGTACAAATTGATCTTCCATAAACCCTTAAAATCGCTAAATTTTGTGTAACATTTTTCTAGCTGCTTTTCGCAGATATTCTCAATCCCCGGGCGAACTTACCCCTGACTACGACCCCTGATTTGATTCAGCGGGCAATCCCGTTCCCTTGGGACCCGACAAAACTCAATCCTATCGAAGCCGGCTGGCAGCCACGTTTTCTGAGGCTTTTCCCATTTTTTAGCTTCATGGGGGCGTCATGGAGCGAGGGAATATTCTTTTCTCGAGTCGCTGTGGTTGCTTAGTTATTATTATGCTTCTTGACTCGCTGAATTTGGCTTCAAAAATGAAGATAATATTTTTAGAGTTTCTGAAGCGTTCAGGGCCTTAATTAGACCTCCAGGGTCCATAGATATGCTTATTTCGGGTAGCTGCATTTTTCTAGCTTTCGTTCGATTTCGAGAATCGATAAAATGCGTTTTTTAGAGCGGTTGAATTGCTCTAGTTATTAGCCTCTGTTTTCAATACGCACTCCTCCCCTTGCTCCTCATCCGCCGCACCGCCCTATAAACACGCTCCACGTATACGGGGTCCCCACAAAAAGGATTATGCAAAGGCACCCGGCATTTTCGCCATTGCCCATCGCCGGCTGGCGTTGATGATGATTCACTCGGCCGGGCAACCGAACACGGCGCTGGGTGGGGGCGTCTCCCTCGAACCGCGTCGTCTCGCCCGAATTTTGTTTTTGATGAGCAATTTTTCGATGACCGCCCGGCAACATTCGCGCCCCGATGCTGCTTCTCGAATTGCTGTTCCACTTTGTATCGATCTTGTAGGAGGTTTTTGAGGCTTCGAGAAGCTTTTCTGGACGCTCTAAGTTTCATACGAATTTGCTGGTTTACTTTAAAGGGATGCCGACGGCATAGTTAATTGGTTACGCGTTGTAAAAAACCTCTCTGCGCCCCTCCCCAGGGCGCGCGCTCGGCCCTGTTGGCTACTTGCCAATTTGTTGATGGCTGGGATCGACACAGGCCGTCGGCAGCCCTTTAAAACGGCCGAAAATTATTCCGAAATTCATAATGTCGAAATTTACATGAGCTAATTTCCCGAAAAGAATCCCAGAATTCTATGCAAAAAAATGTCGAAATTCTGAAATGCGAGATTATGATTTCGACTTAGGGCTAGCAAATTGAAATTCCTTATATTTCTTGGCTAGCCTGCCTCCGATTTATATTTTTCTTGGAGATACTCTGTCGCCTTTTGTAGATTGGAAGGTGGCTTTGAAACATCGAGTAGCTTCTCTGGAATGCTCTAAAAATCTAGCAAATCCTCAGTTATCTCGGCTAGCCTGCCTCAAATCTCGATTCTTTTCAGAATTTCCTCAGTCTCGTTACGAGCAAGCCCCCTGAAATCCAAATAGTGTTGCCTTTGATTCCCTATGGGAAACTTTGGAGAGGAGATCCCCAGTACTCTCGGCTAGCCCGCCCTATCTCTGAAATTTTTCTAAATTTTCTTGTTCTCATTATCATACCTGAATATCGATATTTTCCTATCAGCTCCGGGTCACCGAAATAGCCCTGGAAATTCTGGACTCGAGTACATCAAATAGCCCCGGGCCGTCTCCACGATGGAGATGATCCAGTTGGCCAAAATGGTCGCCGCCGAGCAGGAAAAACAGGCCATCGAACGCCTGTTGCAGACGATACAAGGTCAAATACAAGGTCAAGACAAAAAAATTTGGGGTTTTCTAGTCCTAACAGTTTTTAAGTTCCTAAAAATTTAATTTTAGCATCCCCCAAGTATTGCTGCCAAGCCGATTAGGGATTGGGTATTATAGATAGCATTTTGATGGCGCAGTATTTTTTCATTGTCCGTTTTTTAGTCTCGGCCGTCGGCTTCCAAGCCGTGCAACCGACGCTGTTCATCAACCCGTTCCTCCCCACCAACGAGCAGAACCTCGGCAACACGAATGGCGCCCCAGCTGTGCAGCAGGTTGGATTTGGGTGTTTTTTTTGAAGCTGGTCGAGCGAAAATCAGTGTTATTTGAGGTATTGGTTTTAGAAAACGCAGCTTTTAACGCTTTTCACTAGAAAAATCGTGTTCTAAAAATCCAACTGATGAGTGAAAAGTAGAAGCAAGGAAATATATGTAAATAGACAACCTTTGAAAAAATTCCCTGTAGTAGACGAAATAAAGATATTTTTTTTGCAAAAGGGGTCTTATAGAAAATGCAACTTTTAAACGATTGTCTTTGGAAAAGATCAACCTTAAAAACATAAACTTTCTAAACTATTTTTTCTAGAAAAAGATCATCACAATCTTCGTGGGCAACATCAGCGAGAAGTGCACTGACGAATTCATGTCCCAAATGCTTGAGGTAATCATTTGTAAATTATCCTACAAATCAAGCTATTTTAGGAATGTGGCAAAGTCAACAGCTGGAAGCGCATCAAGGGCTCCAACGGCAAGCTTCAGGTAAGATCGAGTAAATTTTTCATATAGTTTTTTCAGCCCTTCGGCTTCTGCGAGTACGAGACCCCGGAAGGTGGAATGCGCGCGCTCCGAATTCTGCACGAGTTCCAGATTGGCGAGAAGAAGTTGAATATTAAGGTGGGGGGAAAATTTGATGATTATTACTATTGAAAATTAGCTTTTGTATTTAAATTAAAATTTTCAGGCTGACGACAAGGTGCGGGCCATCATGGTCGAGCACTGGAATCGTCGCCGCACCTCCACCGACAAGCCGCTGTTCAAGCCGACGCCCGGCAAAGAATTGCCCGTCGACGAGGAGATGCTCAGAGTATTTTTTTCGACGTTTAAATTACCATAAACTATGTTAGGTTGACGAGGAAGTGCGTCTCAAGATCCTCAACGCGATCGAAAAAGATCACCCGGAATTGCTCATCATCGAAGGTATTTTTTTCATAGCTTTTCTCTTTTTAAAGAGACTCTAAAGGTGTTGGAAGTTGCGTTCTGGTTCGTTAACGGGGGGATGGCTCAATTTTCCCAATGTTACAGAAATCGCATTTGATAGCTATTTTGATAGCATGTTTTACGCTCTTTTAGATAAAAATTATCCTGTTTTTCGCCACCCCCCCCCCCCGCCGATAACGAACCAGCCCTCGTAGTTTGATCTTGCCTTCCGAGTCTCTTTAAAACTTGCTCAACCCGTTCCAAAAAGCACACAAGCGGTCCCATTTTTAAGGCCAGAAGCGGATCATGTAAAAACGGCATGTGGTTTTCATAGCTTTTTGTTAGCACACCCCGCCAAGGAGCTGAGAATAATTTCCGCTTTTCAGACGGCGAGGTGTCGGACCGGGAGTCGAGCCGCAAACGGGGCAAGGACGACGGACGGCGCCGGGACGATCGTAAAGTGAGGCTTTTTCCAAGGGAGCACTTTTACCAGTGCTCCGCGCGGCTTGCCACGATCAGTTTTGACACCCCCTCCAAAAAAGAGACTCTACCACTCCAAAATTGGCTTTTCGATTTTTGTCGTTACTCTCCCAAAAGCATGCGCCCGCAGTCGTACTCGGGTTTTTGTAGTAATGCCGAAAACTTGGGCTCTGGAGATGGGTCAGAAATGGGGGCTTTATGCTAATTCTGTGAGCTTTTTAGACATTTTAAAGCCCTAGTTTTCCGGCTTAAGCTCTGCCCCAAGTTACTTCTTTCTAAAAACTACCCAACCAAAAAATCGAGACGCCAAAAAGGTTTTTTTGCCTTAAGATTGCCAGAAAACAAAACAAAAACAAATTCTGCCCCCTCTCTTTGCCACACTCACCCTGCCCCCACCATAGCCCTCCTCGCAGAACTGATCGACCTACTATAGGGTGCGATAAATTCGCAGAAAAAACGGATTGCCGAGAGCGGATAAGGTGAGAGATGTCAAAATATATCAAAACGATATGCCATTTCCTATAATACCGACTATTCGTTTGTCTCTCTCGGGGACGCGCGGCAGCGCTTGTGTCGGAGGATTTCGGGGTAGACGGGCTATGAAAGGGACGGTCAAGTGATGGGCCTATGGATGTTTGCATTTTTAGATGGCTATGGAATTTTTTGGGGCTCATGGCCTCTCGGCAAAGTCCATAAGGGTTCTTGGCATTATCGGGGAGAGGAACAAAAATTTGTTGTATTACTCCAGAAATGCCTAGTAACTTAATAGGTATTTTAATAACGATTTTATCAAAATAAAACTATATTTGAACTAGAAAAACTATCTAAAAACTTTCAAAAAGTCGAAATTTAGGTAAAAAAATCAGCGTTTTGGTCGAAAAATAATATTTTTTCTTATATTATTTTTCGATATTTTTGACTTAAGAAAAATTTGTGATGTTTTTACGTTTAGGAATCGTCAAAAGCTGTTTTTTTTTCTTTTCAATTCCCTATCTTTATTAAAAAAATAAGATCCTATAACAAAATCCCCCCCCCCAATAATGCCAAAGAACCTCCATAAGAATTCCATAACTACAAAAATCCATAGTCATGCCTTGTCGTTCTCTTTAATGCCAATTTTGAGGCGATACTGATATCATTTATTGCTGGAAGGCGAAAAATGTCAACAGTATGGCTTTGGAATCAGGCCTGTCGTTCCAGCTCTTTCGATACACAGCGATGTGGCGCGTCCCCCGGCCGGCCTGCCCCGCCCGTTTTGCCCACTTGGGGACGGCCGGCCCTGTCCCTGTCGGCTTGGATACGTGTTCGCGTTGGGGGCGCGGCGGCTGGTGATCATCTCCTCCCTCTCTCTCTCTTTCCCTGAAAAATCTCAAAATCGCCAGCAGCCACCCATCCCCCATCGCCCAGGCTAACACCATTTCAATGTGTGTGCGCGTGTGGCATGTACGGCACACACCCCTCAGTTAACCCCCGCGGGGCGTAAGGTACCGTTTGTTACCGTTACGACACCGTACTCTATGTAACGGGCTTGCTGGCTTGGGTGTCCACACGGTGTCCTCCCCGAAGTCGGGGGTGTTCTTGTCCCAACTAACACATTTCCATTTTTTTGTACGGCCGCCCACTTGGCCACCACCACCCCCATCACCCATTTCACGCGGCATGCAGCGCGCAGCGCACCACATCACACTTTACATTCATTTAGCGATCCCTCCCCCACCCCCCGCCGACACCCCGGTGAGGTAGGGAAATGAACCCCAGGCGATGGGTGTCTGTGTGTTACTTCTCTGTTTTGCTTTCCTTTTTTGTTTTGGCGTTTAAAGGGCGGGGAAAGGCATGGATTTGGTTTTTTTGCTATGGATTTGGTATTATAGACTGATTAAAATATAGATTTTAGACTATAGATTGTAGAAAACGATACTACATATACAGATTTTATTGGATTTTCTACTCTTTACTATAGACTATACTATGGATTTTATTTGATTTTCTGCGAAGTTGCGCAGCTACCGCGACACACAACGCGCTCCACGCTCTACCGTCATCAACGGGGTTGTTTTTTCATGAATTCTGAATTGAATAGTCGATTACGCTATCAGCATGCGTGCGGCTGCGTAACGTGTCGCGAGCGTACGTTACGTTTCGCGGTTGCGTCGAAATCCATAACCACCAAAATCCATGCCCATGCCTTCACGCCCCCTTTAAAACCAACGATTTCCCGTTACGGTGCCCGCGCAATTCCGTCGGTTTTTAGGGCCCATTATCCAAATGACAAGCCGGCAGACTGGATGGTATGTGTGCCACGAGAATGCGATTTAACCCTTTTTTTTTGATTTTTGGATTGCCTCACTTTTCAAGATCAGCATCCTTGGTTTTAGCCGTCGAAGGCCTGGTTTTGGTTGCCCTGGGCGGGACGGAGGTTGGGAGGAAGGGATGGAAATTTTTCGGAAAAAAGTTACGATAATTTAATGCTACAAGTTTTGTATCGAATTTTATAAAATTACACCAAAAATAGTGAACCTCCTTCTTCTTTCAAAAGCTTTTGATATTCTCGATCGACCCAAAAATGCTATTTTTTACATTTTCTGATGATTGGGACGTTTTAGCCCTTCGTATAGTCCGATCAGCCCTTTCGTATTATAAAATTTATTTTAGGATTTTTAGGATAATTTAGCCATATTAAGCTTTTTTTCACCCTCCCAATTATCCCAACCCCACCCGTCCAACATTTTGAGTGCCCTCCCCGCACACTGGCTGACATCTTGAAGGCGAATCCGTTCGTTTTACCAGAAATAATTTTTCAAAAATCTTACGCCTAGAAAGTGAGGAAAAATTGTTTTGGGAAAATTGAACGCACGCCGCCGAGAGCAGCATGTAGATTTCGGCACCTCCTTGGTTTCCCTTACTCGATCGAGATAGATCGTTCCCTGATTTTGGCATGGTTTACTTTCCAAATTTCGAAATTAAAAATGTCGTAATTTCATGACGTCGAAATTTCATAATGTCAAAATTTCGTAATGTCGGGATTTCAAAATGCCGAAATTCAGAACATTGAAATTTTTTCATAAGGGAATTTCCCGGAAAACCCCCGAATACTATGCAAAAAAAATTTGACATTCGGAATTTAGACATTGTAAAATTTCGACATGCTGAATTTGAAAATTATGACCGCAAATCGTAACTTTGGCATGGCCCCCCAAAAAACCCTAACCCCGGAATGCAAATTTCCCCCGGCTTTTGGAATGTGTGTGTGCGTTTGCCGAGACAGACCCGATCCACCGTGTCCCCCACGTCCTTCCCCCCTGATTGTCCCCCGGTACGGTTTCTAGGTACGTTTTCCGTGCGGCACAAACACACAAAAATATGCACCCCATGCACAACAGGGTCCGCCCAAAATTTGCACCCAAATCGCTACTCTGTCGCTGCTTCACCACAGTTGCCTGGGCTTCTACCGGCTTTTCCGGCTTCTATCGCTGCACTACTTTCCTCCCAGTTGTTGTGTGCCTTTTTTAATTTAAATTTGTTTTAAGTTGAGTTTGATTTTCGTAAATTTCCGGGCTTAGACTGGCCTTCCAAAGTCAAAATCCCCCCACGCACCGCTTTTCCGGCCAGCACATTTCCACAAGAATCACTGCACCGTCTCCCCCCCTCCTCTTCGCGTTAACATGTCTCTAGACGTTGGAGCGGGTATTTTTGGCTTGGTTTGGCCTTGATTTTGGGCTAATTGTTTTTAAAAAGTTCGAATCGAATTTTTAATGACAATCAAGTTTCGATGGGGCACATAGCGTAATTTGTGCGGAATTTTGCGCTGATTCTGAGGCGGATTTCAAAAAAATGGCGAACTGACCCGATTAAAAAAAGTTAAAAAGCTATTCAGTGCAAAAAAGGCAAAAAAAATCGCGAATTCGGGCAATTTTGGGGCTTTGTGCATTTCAAAAAGCTTCATAACTTTTTTAATCTGGTCTTTTCGCAAATTTTGAAACCAGCCACGGAATCAGCGCAAAGTTCTGCCCGAAATAGGCTACGTGGCTACGTGCCGTGTGGAAACCCTAATAACTCTTTGTTGGTGATTTTTGGTTGCTTGTTTTAGTGAAATGAATTTTTTATCAGAGTTTTTGAATTGTTTTAACTTCCAATGCTCCGATCGGGCCCAAAATTCAAGCCAATCCAAGCCAAATTCCCGCCTCTAAAGACGTCCTTAAAAAAACGCTGGCGCTTGTTAGTTGATGAGACGGCCTTTCGTGTGTGCCCCCCACCCTCCCAGAATTGTCCCAGAAGAAAAATGAAAGCTAGCTTTCAGATATAACCCCCCGAACGAACGAGGGCCCCGCGTAAGTGAGCGTACTGTACAATTCTCTTGGAGGTGTCGAAGGAGCCGAGCCGGGAGCAGGAACCAGCGTTTTAGAGCCATTTTTAAAACTATTCCAGCTCCCGGCTCCCCGTCGACACCTCTCCGCACATTCTGAAAGCGCTGAAACAAAGCGTGAATAATTGTGCCTGTCCCCCTGAAAGAAAATCCGGATTTCTCTCTCTATATATATGTCTATTTGTTACCATCGCCCAGCCCCCCGATTTTGAGCACGGCGTATTCATAAGGGAGGCCGGTAGACGGGCGCTTCTGAGGGGAGACTTGCGATTTTTTGATTGGATTCTGGTTATTGTAAGCTGGAATTTAGCGGAAAGGCTTAGAATAATTAAAAAGTTAAACAATTAAAAAGTTTTTGAAATAAAAATGAAATTAAATGAAATTAAACGAAAATTAAAAATGTTAAAATTTAAAGTAAAATTTGTAGCTTTTATTGTCCGGAAGTATACGGTCGTTTTTATTTTTACGTTTTTTATTCAAAACTGCATAAATAGAGGAAAGAGAAAACAGTTTAATTCTGAAAAACACCATTTTCTAAAGCAAAATTTGTAAATTTTTTTCGCTAGAGACTCTTCAGGGATTTTTTTTCTGATATTTTCTTCAAGGATTTCCCTGCAAAAATGCGAAAAAATGCAATTTTCGACATATAAAATCCTCTTTTCGCTAGAACTTCTGAAAAAATAAGCTTTTTGTACAATCAGAACCCAATCCAAAAAAATCCCGAACCCTCACTGCGTCCATCGGTGTACTCCGTACTAACCACCGCCCCACCACAAACTCACACCATCCCGCAGCTACGCTTTATGAATACGCTTCTCTCGATATGGGGGTCCCCCCAATAGTCTACTTACCTAATCGAGGCCGTTCTCTCTCTTTTTTTTGGAAACGGCCACTTGCCTACCTTCTTAGGCTGTGTCGGCGGTTGGGGAATCGTTTGCCGGGAACAGTTAATAGTCCGCCATTTAGGACCGTCGCCGGAGGAGCCGCAGCAGGTCAAGGCGCGGAAGGAGCCGCAGCCGCTCCCCGCCCCGCCACAAGTATGAATTTCTGGACTTTGAATTTTTGTGTAGTCTCTTGATTTTTTTAAGGATTCGGTTCTTTCGCATTATCGGGGGGAGGGGGGAGGCGGAGAAAATTTTTTCCTGGAATCGGTTTTTAAATATAGTGAGCGGAAGTGTTACTAAACTAATTCCATATCCCGAAACGTCAAAACTTTACAAATTTTGATTAAAAAATATCAAAAATTCCATTTCTCGACCAAAAATGGCGTTTTGACCAAACTGTCCACTTTTTGAAAATACTTCCAAAGTTTTAGATAACTTTCTATTTGAAATATAGTTTTGTTTTACTAAAAACATTATGAAAACACATCCTATTCTGTTTCTGCGCATTTCTAGACATAAACCAAAAATTTTTTGTCCTGATAATGCGAAACAACCGTAAGAATTTTTGGACTTTTAAGTAGTCTCTTAATTATACAAAAATATCTACTTTTCAGGAGGCGTCGCCGTCACTCCAGCTCCAGCGACTCAGGCTCGCGCAGCCGCTCATCCTCGCGCTCGTCAAGGTGCGCTTTTTGGAGATTTGCTAGCAAAATAGCGAAATTCGTTTTGTTGTGACCGTTTTTCGAGTTTTCACGATTTCGACACTTTTTCTGAGAAAGTGCAGATAAGCGTTTTTTTAGAATTTTGCTAATGCCGTAATTTTCCCCATTTTCAGATCAAGCGCTTCAACCTACGGCAAAAAGAAAGAGAACCGCAGCCGCTCGCGCAGCGCCGGCTCCGAGGACTCGGAGGAGGCCCGGGAGAAGAAGGCCCTCAGGAAGCAGTTGAAGGAGAAGGAGCAGGCCTACATTGCGCGGCTCAAGAAATGGGAGCAGCGGGAGCGAAGGTTGCGAAATTTTGGATTGACGTTAAATATAAAATTCAGAATGGCTCGCGCCTACGAGAAAGAGGAGACCAAGGAGCAACAACGGCGTCGCGACGTCCAGAAGGAGGCGAAAAAGTTGCGCCATTTCCTGGAGGACTACGACGACGAGAAGGAGGACGGAAAATATTACAAGTGGGTTGATTTCGCCATTTCTTTGATGGCCCAGTTCTTCCAGGGGCGGCTCGCTCTTCCAGCGGACCCGCGACTACGAGCGCGAGAAGGAGCAGGATGCGCTCGACCGGAAGCGAGAACAGCAAGAGGTACGGCGGTCCCTGAATTTGCAGCTCATACATTTTTTAGATTGAGGAGCTGAAGAAGCAGCTAATCGCCGAGGGCAAAGACGGCGAGCTGGCCGAGGAGGAGGCCAAGAAACGCCATCGTCAACAGGTACAATCGCGGCCCTTTCGAGCCGTTGGCAACGTTTTTGCAAATAGCTTGCTCTCTGAATTTACGTGATCGATTCTTGGGCCCCAGTGCAAAAAATACCCCTAGAAGACCCCCCATTTTCCACCCATGACCGTTTAAGGGCGATGCGCCGGTATTTTGGTACGCTTTCGTGTGGGTTTCCCTTTTTCGAACTCATGGTGTGTGGTCTAATCGCTGTACTCGCCGGGCCCCCCCGTTAATAGCCGCCATTTTAGGAGGAGGAAGCGCTGCGGAAATTGCGCGAGGACAGCGGCAGCCCCAACCCGCACAAGCCGGCCGGCGCCAAGGACGGCGAGAGCAGCGACAGCGAGTCGGGAAGGTGGGTGTTATGGATCTTTTACTTCGTATCTCTCTCTCTCGCTCTCTCTCTCTCTCTCTCCCTCTCTCTGTCTCTCTTTCCGAATTCGCAGACAAATATTTGGCGCTTTCCTTCAGCAGCAGCGATTCCGACAACGACGACGGGCCGGACAGCAAAAAGAAGAAGGCTGATGGTGGCTGGATGTCGTCGCCGGCAGTGGAGAAGACCGGCGACGAGGCCTCGAATATGGGCGCGAATACACCGACTCCCGCCGCCCCCACGGCGCCCACGACAGCGGCGCCTACCAAGTGGAAGAGTGCGTTTTTTAATTATTTGCGTGAAATAAATTAATGATTTTTGCAAGGATTTCTAAATTCTAAATGACTAAAAATGTCTATAGACATTTTTTAGGTGCAATCAGCCTTGGCGGTTCGGCTAATACAAGTGCGGCCACGGCGGCGACGTCATCCCCGTCGGCCAGCTCGACGACCCCAAGGCCCGGGCTGACGGCCAGGTTGAATGGTGTTTTTGGTGGGTATTATTCAGCTTTTGAATATGTCTAAAATTTTGAACATAAAAATAAGGAAGCACCGATTTAATTTGTTTATTTTGTTTAAATTTTTTTACTGATTTTTAGCCCATTAATCACAGTTGTTGTTTTGCAGGCATGGAAGACGAGGAAGAGGCGCCCGTTCGCACAAAGCTGAAGCCCTTCCAAATCACCAACGAGGACCGCATGCAGCTGATGTCGGCCGAGGAGCGGAAAAAGCGCACCAAGGAGCTGCTCGAGTCGATCCCCTCGAAGAAAGGTGAGCCGGATTCTCTTAATTTTTTGCAAATAATTTCCGACTAAATTTTAAAAACAATTTCGATCGATATATAAATCCTTTTTCAGGCCTGCAAAATTTTCACTTTCTTAAACTAAAAAACCCGTTTAAAACTAAATTTCTTAAATTTTCAGACGAGCTGTTCGCGGCGAAAATCCACTGGGAATTCGTGGACAAGGCGTTCGAGGCCCGCATCCGCGCCTGGGTCGACAAGAAGATCAAGGAGTACATTGGCGAGGTGGGGTTGGAGGAGCTTCGGAGTAGGGCGTCATTTCTGCAGCCGGACAAGACGCTCGTCGACTTCGTCTACGGCAAGATCGAGTCGAAGGTGCAGCCGGACGTGCTGCTCAAGGACATGAAGCTGGTGCGTTCAATTTTTGCTGGATTCTGGATACTTTTAGCTTTTTGATGTTTATAGCTATCAGCGTCTCAAAAGTCGTAAGACCGAAATTTCAGAATATCGAAGTTTCATAATGTCGAGACTTCAAAACATAAAATTTCATAAGGTCGAAATTTCGGAATGTCGAAAATTTATAACGTCGAGATTCATAATCGTCAAATTTTGTAATATCGAAATTCCCAATGCCAGAATTTCGAAATTTACAAGAGTGAAATTTCAGATTTTCGAAATTTTTACGAAATTTCATTATTAATTCAAGAATTTCAAACGATCGAAATCTACCGTTAAAATAACTCCCCTGAAAAACCTGCCGGAATTTCGCCATTCTGATTTTTAAACCCTTTTTAAGCAAAAATAAATTTTTTAAAAACTATGAAAAAGATAGGAATTTGCCGCTTTTGGTGAATGAGGGTACAAGAATATTTTTCGATCTAGAGTAATTTGTCCCGCGAAAATTTTGTAAATTTTAGGACGCTTTTAAACGCTTTATAACATAGTTTTGCCATACGAAAAAATGATATCTTCTGCTCCAGATTCTCGACCACGAGGCCGAAACGTTCATCCTGAAGCTGTGGCGCGTGATCGTCTACGAGACGGAGCTGCGGCGGCTCGGCTACATGCCGGTCGGCGAGAAGAAATAGATACCACCCACCGTGCAGTGGTCGAATTGCCTTCTAGCTCCGCGCTTAAATTCCATTACGTAAATGCTACGCTGTTATCTGTTTTCCTTCGGATTCACCGACCCCGATTCGCCTTTTCCTCCCACTCCACCATACCCCGTATGCCTTTTTGTGATCCTCATCCTCTCTTTACGATAATTATTAAGGTTATAATCGAAGGTAAAAGATTATAATTTACAGGATTTTCAAGTCGGAATTAACGCCTCTCGACAATTCTACACCAAAAATGGGTCCCCCACCTCGCTGAATTTGCTGGCTGGCCACGGCTCGCTTTTGTCTTTTTTGAGGGCAGCTAAACGGTTGCCGAATTCGATCGCTTTCCCAACACTTCCACGGCCCTTTAGAAAATCGTTGGCCCCGCAATTTTTCCCAAAAAGCAAAAAGTTTGTGCCGGGCGGGAGTCGAACCCGGGTCTTCAGCTTGGCTTGGAAGAACTGAACGATTTACGCTCACTTCGCCGATTTTTCAGTTGCCGGGATGCTGTTTATGATATCTCTTAATTGTTTATGCATTAATTGGTAATTTGAAAAGCTTCAAAAATAATTAAAAAGCAAAATTTTTAAAGTTCTGGGTTTTTGGATTAAAATTATTTTAGTTAGTATTAAATTTTCTTATAACTCCTTCTAAAGCTTGTAACTCTGCGGACCAATGAAAGTGTTTTTAAAAGTTTTTTTTATGGCTCAAATAGTTGCGATTTGATTGAAATGAAATTGGCATGCATAAAAAAAATCGACAAGTTCGAAAATCGACTAAAAAGGCCTGAATCGTCCAGCTCGAGTGTCCCAGGCTGACGACCCGGGTTCGAACCCCACCCCGGCTTGATATTTTTGCCGTTTGAGGAAAATTCGGGGCTAGCTGCTCCTACAAAATTCTCAGCTTTTCCTAGCTTTTCCGCCGGTTGGGCAAAGGGTTATATACTGTTATTCTCTGTCTGTCTCTCTATCTCTATTTTCTCCACTCTATGATAATTTCCTGCAGCCCCACGCCGCCCATTATCCGCCCCCCTTTTTCGTTGTGTTCATTGATTTGATTATTGTCACACGCACCTAGCCCCTGTTTTATCGGCGCGTTCAAGCTGTTGTTAGTCATTTCGCGTACTCAACCCGCCCACCCAAAAATCAACATCGCCGCCCTGTTTTCCCGTTTTTCCCCTCGTTGTCCTCATCATCATCTTACATTACATAAACACCAATTTTGTGCATAGGGATAAACGGAAATTCTACCATTTTTGGGGCGTTGCTTTGCATACATTCAATATTACCCGGGAGTTCTTACAGACGGACAGATCTTTGAGAAGTTTTGAAATTGAATTACAGACTTTGTTTTCTACAAAAACAATCGTAATTTTTAGGCAATCTTTTTGAAAAAATTGTTACGAATTTAATACTGTTTCGTGCGAATTTCGAAAAATAACGTTTTTAGATTTGTGTAAAATTGAAAATTTGAATAAACTAATTTGGCCTAGATTTGGGTATGAAAATTAAGAGTTCAAATCCACATAGTTTCGATGTTTTCTGCCCCCTAAAATCTGCATAAAAATATGCAGTTCAACTTTAAGGTCCAATCGAACTTTTTTAGATTTTCCAGGCTCTGAAAAATTTGCATGGATTTGATTGGAATTTTGAATAGATAAAAATAGATGGAAAACAATTATGAAACGCAATTCTGACGGTTTATTACATGCATTAAAAATACACAAAGAATGCGAATAATAAAACGGCGAAAAACACAGGCAATGCACGATGCTCCAAATTACAGACGTAGTCCATTTGCTGGATGCAGGTGACGTCGGCCTGGCCGAGACCTGAACCTTCGCATTTTGAGGGGCAAGGCAGCCGGGGGGCGGGGCCCGGGGAGACAACACCCTCTTCCCAGTCCCCCAGCAGCCCTCCCACATGACCGTGTGGCCTAATGGATAAGGCGTCGGACTTCGGATCCGAAGATTGCAGGTTCGAGTCCTGTCACGGTCGAAACTTTTTGCTTTTTGGGTATTTCCTCCTAAGGAGCCGAGAGCCTTCTAGAGCTCCTTCTTACAAGTAGCTTGGTCTTACAAATTAAAACGATAAACCCTACCTCGAGCCATATTTACAGCAGCCGAGCAGACGACCTTTCCGCTTGGAAATCCGCATTGCTGGATGATTTGGTCGCGGACGCAGCCGACAGCCGCGATTCCTCGACTGGAAATTGTTTTTTATGGCTGGCTTCCTTTCCTCAACAATCTCTGCTAGCCCACCGAAACTTACTCGCAAACCATCATCTGATTTTGCTCCTGGCTGGTCCCACCACATTGCACGAGTCGATGGGAGAGTGAGGCTTGGGCAAAAGCTTGGGATAAGCAGACTTGGTTTTGGAGGAATACTGAAAAATCATGATTTTCAAAAAAGCATTTTAAAGACGCTCAGAAGCGAGGGACTCACCTTCCTTCCCAGTGCCACAGACATTCTCGAAAAAGGCAAAATCAAGGAGGTAGTCGCGAGCCTAAAAACGATTTGTATGGACGCTGGCTTCCTCAACAATCTCTGCTAGCTCTCCCGATCCTTTTCAAAGAATCTCTGCTAGCCTGCTCTTTGCGCTAGCGGTATTAACTACAAAATCACAAACATCATTCGGATTCCCGGCCAGCTGCAGGAAAGTTTGCGGATTTGAGCAGGTGGCCCGGTAGCCGCCCATACACGTCGTAAGAATGTCGAAATTTCTGGAATTTCAGGAATTTAGTTTTTTGAAAGCTGTTTTGCTTTTTCTAAATGAATTGAAAGTATTATTTCATAAATGTCAGCGCTATTTTTTGGTTTCGTCAAATCTAAAAAGACCAAAATTACCCACTGGCAAATCGTTTTCAGGTCCGTGATCTTGATCAGTCGGTCATATAATTCGTAGAGGGCCAACACCTGAAAATGGAGCTTTGAAGTTGAATTCTTGAAAAATGATATTAATAAATAAAAATAAAAATATAATCTAAATAGGTTAGAAAAATACAGCTTTCTTTCCATCAATTTCTTCTTTTTTTTCTTTCCAATATTCCAACCTGTCTGCCGTTCTGGTTCCGGGCCAGCAGCCCGTAGAGCGCCAGGTAGTTGATGTAGCACGAGCGTACTTCCTGAAATCGGCGTGATGGTGATTTTTTCGGTTTTCGCAAGAATCTCTGCTAGCCTGCCCCCTGCTCACCCTCAAATCGCTGCTAGGTAGCCCTGAAATTCCTCAAGAATCACTGTTAGCTTACCGTCTCCTCTTCCTCAGCACTCTCTGCTAGCCTGCCCATTGTCGTTTTATCATAAAAAACTTACATTAACATTCAAGCACAGCTCCTGAGGCAAATTCCGGCTGACGAGATCCTGCCGCTTCGTTCGAGTACTATTTACACCCCATGCACTTGGTAATAGGGCAGAAAATAGAACTAAAAAAACTGGTAAGAGAGCAATAAATATCAACCAGGCTTCAACGTTTTTTTGTGAAACTTTTTACCTGAAATGAGCAGCAATTTAGAGGGTAGAGGCTGCATAATTACAGGAATTTTCTAAAATTATATTAAGCAATTATTGCATCTTAAGAATTCGTAAACATTGAAAAAAGGCATAAACCAAAGTAGTTATTTTATCTCAAGGATCAATCGATACCCAACTAATACGGAGCCCAAGGTACCTGGGGCCCAAGAATGCTGAAACCTTTTTTTTTTAAAAATCAGCAAAATTCGCTTGAAGTATCGCCTAGTTTATGGCAACTTTGAATTAAAAATACACAAAGACAGTATTAAAAATACAAAATTTGAGACGTATACCGAACCAACAACCTAAAAAGCAAAAAATATTAAAATTTGCCTCAATAATCTTTTAAATTTTAAGCTCAATAAGTTGCATACAAATAACCAATTCTTAAAATTTTTGATTGTTTTAAAATTAATAGTAGGCCTATTAGAGAAGGGATAAGTTTTATTCCAGGGAATTCCATAACTTCCCGGCCTATCCTGAAAGGTATCGGCAGGCTGGCACCAAGGGCAAACAGGCCTGATTCATGCCCCCAGGGCATATGCAAATAGGGCGGTTATTTAGAAGGGGAAGGCGTGGCGATTTGTAAATAGGCCGTTAAACGAAAGTAGTACAGTAATATACGACAATTCCGAGGTCGAAAATAATGATGTTTCAAGGAAAATTATAGCCAAAAAGTTTGCGATTAGGATAATTGGTAAGCCGCGTCCAAAAAAAAGTAATTTTTTCAATTTTTAATCGATGATGTGAAAAATCTAAAAATTGTAATAGTTCAGTGTTTTAAAATAAAAATGTTTGAAAACCCGTTGAAACAAAAATCTATTCGGAATCCTCCTCGCCCCACCATTTTTTTTTTGGAGCAGGATGAGCCGTGGTCGGCCCCGAGTACCGGGCGGATTACCCGAGATCGCGGGGTATCGGAAACGGGGATGCTACTGACTCATGGTAAATTCACATTTTTTGATGGCGTGACGCAGGGCAGGCGAGCAGAGATTGTTGAGGAAGTGGAGAGGGCAGGCTAGCAGAGATTGTTGAGGAAGAGGAGAGGGCAGGCTAGCAGATATTGTTGAGGAAGAGGAGAGGGCATGCTAGCAGAGATTGTTGAGGAAGAGGAGAGGGCAGGCTAGCAGAGATTGTTGAGGAAGAGGGAGAGGGGCAGGCTAGCAGAGATTGTTGAGGAAGAGGAGAGGGCAGGCTAGCAGAGATTGTTGAGGAAGAGGAGAGGGCAGGCTAGCAGAGATTGTTGAGGAAGAGGGGAGGGCAGGCTAGCAGAGATTGTTGAGGAAGAGGAGAGGGCAGGCTAGCAGAGATTGTTGAGGAAGAGGAGAGGGCAGGCTAGCAGAGATTGTTGAGGAAGAGGAGAGGGCAGGCTAGCAGCGAGCTTTCAACGATAGGAAATCAGACGTTCTACAGTACGATATTGACTCGAAAAACTGGTGACTAGACCCGAACTATGGGTAAAAATATCCGACCCATACCCCTGTATTCAAATCTACTATTTGCACAGCCCTTTAAAGGGTCATTTTCGGGGGCCAGCGCCCCCCGCAAAAGGCCCTCCTCGCCACTCGACGCTGGGTTTTTGAAGCACCCTGACTCATCTCTTCGGTGAGTCTGAATCGGTTGCGTTTTGGCTAGAAAACAGGGTATGAGCTGGCGAGATTGAAACCGGGGTGTGATTTTAGAGCACAAATGGTCTCTGCTAGCCTGCCCTTTCCGGTATCTAGGCCTGGTGGGAGGTTCAGCTCCTGGTTTTATGGTTGCTGCTAACGGTTAAGTTGCAGGACGGCTAAACTCGATTCCTAAAGCCTTCTACTTGCCTGCCTCACAGCTGCCTAAATCTGCCAAAAAAACAACGATGTTTCAGGTGCAAAAACGATCTAGAAAACTTTAAAAAGCTTTCAAATCTCAAATTTTCGTCGCTAAATAGTTTTTTTTTGGTATTGTTTTAATGAAAACCAGGGTTGAAAAGCCGCTTCGCGACTTTTCAACCCTTCAAGAAAAATTTTATTTCTTACCCGCTGCGTCGGAAACCGAAAGTTAGGAAAGTCAGAAAGAAAGTTTTAGCGTTTAAGCAGCGTAAAAACATCCCAGAAACACTGCCTCTGGTTAGAATAGAGAAACTGTATCCTTAGAGAAGTCGTCCCCCCCCCCCGATAATGCGAAATAACCGGCAAAAAATGCAAGATACAACGCAGATACGCTTCAGGGGAACTACGGTATTTCCGTGCGTAGGCGCCCTAAATGGGGAAATTCCAAAAATCCCGACAGCAAGGATCGCAACATGCTTTTTTGCCGATCGTTTTACCCATCAATGGCTTGAAACTGCGGAATTTCTGGCTGTCGAGATTTTGCCCTGCCTGGATTCTGGCTGTCGGGATTTCGCCCTGTCGGGATTCTGTATGTCGGGATTTCGCCCTGTCGGGATTCTGTATGTCGGGATTTTGCCCAGTCGGGATTCCGTCTGTCGGGATTCTGTATGTCGGGATTTTGCCCTGTCGGGATTCTGTATGTCGGGATTTTGCCCAGTCGGGATTCTGTATGTCGGGATTTCGCCCTGTCGGGCTTCTGTCCGTCGGCATTCTGTATGTCGGAATTTCGCCCGGTCGGGATTCTGTCTGTCGGGATTTTGCCCTGTCGGGATCCCCTGATTTTCGGCTGTCGGGGTATCCCGTCGGGTTTATCGCTCTCGGGATTTTGGACTAACAGGATATGGCTGAATTGGTTCCAAATATGCATAGCCCGCACTTAGAATCAGAATCTGACGCGATATTCGAAGCGCTGCGGGAAGAAATCCTCACTTTCCCAATTCTCCATCTTCGTGATGCTGATCGCCCAGGGCTTATGCCTCATCGTATCATGCCTTCACTTCATCCTGCTGCTCGGATGTGCGCGCCGACGCGTGCCGCCCAAAAAGTTGACGCTGAATAGATTCACGGCAAGGCATGGCCGCCCGCCCCGGCGCCAGGTAGCCATTTGCTCGATTCAGCTAATTAAAGGGGCTGTGACTAGTGATAATCCACCGAAGCATATTTCATTTTCAGGATGAGATCCAGATTGTCGGCTCGCCTCCCTCGTCTTCAGTGTGTACTGATATGGTGGAGCAGTTCACCGACAAGTCCGAGCACAACAAGGAAAACGAGAAAGAGGTCCAAGTCAGATAATTCAGCTAATTAAAGGGGCTGTGACTAGTGATAATCCACCGAAGCATATTTCATTTTCAGGCTGAGATCAAAATTGTCGGCTCTCCTCCCTCGGCTTCAATGTCTACTGCTACGGTGGAGCAGCTCACCGACAAGTTCGAGCAGAACAAGGGAAAGGAGAAAGAGGCCCAAGTCGGTTAAATTAGCTAATTAAAGGGGCTTATTTTCAAAATGTCGAAATTCATAATGTCGAAATTTCACAATGTCGAAATTTCATAATGTCGAAATTTCATAATGTCGAAATTTCGTAATGTCGAAATGTCAGAATGTCGAAATTTACATAAGCTAAAATTCCCAGTAAAGTCCCCGAATTCTAGGCAAAAAAATGTTGTCGTGAAATAAGATAAAAAAGTAGAATGTGGAAAATTTTTTTGGCGGTTTTACCGGTAATATTAGCCTATGTAAATTTCGACATTATGAAATTTCGACATTATGAAATTTCGACATTGTGAAATTTCGACATTATGATTTTCGACATTATGATTTTCGACATTATGATACCAATTCAATTAAAGGGGCTGTGACTAGTGATAATCCAACGAATCATATTTCATTTTCAGGTTGAGATCAATCGGGCGCTTCGAGAAGATTCCACGCTCTCCGAGGAGGCCCTGGAGCAAGTTCGCGGAAGCCAGCCGGTCGGTGTTCTTTTGATAAAATTTGGCGGGTTGGCGCTTTCTTCCCAGGGAACAATGGTATTTCCGGCTTTCAGGCCAATAACAACAACAACATGCTGGAGTCGGCGAGACGCGACGTCGGTAGATGGCTACGAACGTGTGTGCGTGGCGAAGGCGTGCATCTGGATCTATACACTAAAGTAAGGCAACAAAAAGCAAATACCCACACACCAGTCTTTGTCCAAAGGAATCGCCTATCGATTTTTCAGCCCCTCTGCCTACTTTCCCTCGGCTGGTTGTACCTGTAGCGAACAACGAAAGACGAATCAGAGGTTAATCACCAATCGTCAGCCAAAGCATTTGTTTCAGTTGTTATCCGCGTGGTCCGAGTCGGAGGCGAAATTTCTCGAGATCGGAAGGGCCATTACGGAAGCTCGACCAATGGCTTCATCGATGGTAGAGAATTATGTTCCTGAGACGGTTCCTCTCTCTCTCTCTCTCTCTCTCTCTCTCTCTCTCTCTCTCTCTCTCTCTCTCTCTCTCTCTCTCTATCCCTATCCCTCTCTCTCACTCTTTCCCCTACCTCTCTCTCTTCCTCGCTCTCTCTGTCTCTCTTGCTCGCTCTCTCTCTATCCCTCTCTCACTCTCTCCCCTCTCTCTCTCTCTCTCTCTCTCTCTCTCTATCCCTATCCCTCTCTCTCACTCTTTCCCCTACCTCTCTCTCTTCCTCGCTCTCTCTGTCTCTCTTGCTCGCTCTCTCTCTATCCCTCTCTCACTCTCTCCCTCTCTCTCTCTCTCTCTCTCTCTCTCTCTCTCTCTATCCCTATCCCTCTCTCTCACTCTTTCCCCTACCTCTCTCTCTCTCTCTCTCTCTCTCTCTCTCTCTCTCTATCCCTATCCCTCTCTCACTCTCTCCCTCTCTCTCTCGCTCTCTCTCTCTCTCTCTCTCCCTCTGCGCACCGCATCAATTAATTCCACATCACCTGAAATTTTGCAGCCCGCGGTCATCGACCACACCACAGTAGGCCCGGATTTCGCCGCTCACCCGCACTGGCTGCAAACGGAAGCCGAAACGATGGTGATGATTCAGGAGTTTGATGTCCTTCCGACTGCCCAAGTCTACAAAGTTGGTTTTATGTTCCTTTACATCAGCCTCTTGTGCATGTTTTCAGAAGGCAACGGAAATCTACACCGAAATTTGGACGCTGGGCGACCCCAAGGGGAACGCGTTAGGAAGCAGACCCTGAAGATCGCCGCCTGATGATCGGCGGCTTACCGACCACCCCACTTGACCAAACTGCTCAAATACCAAATGTGTTTACCTATATTTCCCCCAATTTCCTTTGCTTTTGATCGGTTTCTGTACGTGTGTTACACTCGAAATAAAGAGTTCCTGGGAAAACCGCCTACCAACACACTAATGAACAGCTTGTAAACTAGGCGCAAGCAAGTAAACCGCAAAGACACACAAAACACGCGCCAGTCGTACGCCGTGAAGCGGCCCTTTGTTCATGTACTTAAATTTTTCAAAAATAGGGCGCGCATGGGGGGAACCATTTTTTCCGGCCCAAGCCTATGTTTTTGAGGCTTTACCACCGACGGTAAAATTCTGGCACATCGGCATTTTGGGACAGAGTGAGAGAGCGAGAGGGAGAGAGAGAGAGAGAGAGAGAGAGAGAGAGAGAGAGAGAGAGAGAGAGAGAGAATGAGAGATTTTTTCGCTATTTAGCCGGCACTTGAACGTCATTTTCGACATTTTTTCGCAAACCCACTTTTTCGATCGAAGAGCGCTCTCAGTTTGTCAAAACCTCCTGAAAAGTTTATAACGAAAATTGCTAGTGATGTAATAGAAACTTGTTCTGGCAGACCCTTGCCCAAGATCGTCGATTTTCGAAATTCTAGAAATTTTGAGCTAGGGGTTCATGAGGTAGCCCATTCGAAAAGCACGTTTTTTTACCATTTTTAGAACGTTTTAAAGTAAACGATTTGTGGAACTTTGGGTATTAAAAAAGCTTGTAACTTTTTAATCTGAGGGGTCATGCAACTTTTGAAAACGGATTCGGAATCAGCAAAAAAATTCTGCACAAGATGTGCTATCTCTCGTACGGAATTTCCATTTCGACCATAAGAGGGTTACAGTCAGAAAGATCAATTAGAATGTTGAATTAGCATGGCGGACGCCGAAAAGCTAAAGATCCGAAAAATCACTTCCATTATCTCCCACCATGGACGCCCTCGGACCGAGTCGAGAGGGGGTACGCTTTTCGCAGCGCATTTGTATACCTTATGCAAATCGCGAAATTTATGATAATTTTCCAGCAAGAACCCACCCGGACGGTGAGCAACTCGAACCAGAAGCTCCGCTACACAAAAGTGCGCGATGCCGTGGCGGGTGGCATGGCGTCCGTCAACGCCGAGCCGTTCTTCTACAGCTTCATCGAGGAGCACGAGACGTCCAAATATTTGATGGAACCGGGTATAGAATCTCGGCTAGCCTGCCCTCTCCTTTTCCCTAAAAAACGCTGCTAGTTTGCCCAAAAAATCTTTCTAGGCGACTTTCTCGTCCGCCAGGTGTTGTCCTGGAAGAACAACTCCAAGTCGACGCAGGACAAGCGCTACATCATCGCCTTCATGACGTCGAAACAAGAGATTGAAGAGGCAGGCTAGCAGAGACACTTCACGAAGATATTAGGTTGCCATCAGATACTCGCGTACCAACCGCGTCTACTACCTCCATGAATACTGCTTCAACACGGCGCAGGGTGGGTTTTGGCCGAAATTGCTCCAATTCTCTCTGCTAGCCGGCCCTTGGTGGAGTGGAGGACCACAAACCCTCATATTGCCTCTGCTAGTACGCCCAATTCAGGCCTAGTCTCCTACCACCGTGACTTCCACGTTTCGTTGGACCGCTTCGCCGACAAGTTCATCGTCAACGGCGTCCGCCTGGCCCACGAGCACAAGATCTACCATGAGCAGATCCAACGGTGAGCCTCGTCCTCAAGGATCTCTGTTAGCCTGCCCCGCCAAATGCCGGATTTTTCAGCATCAAGGCGCTGGGCGACGGCGCGTTCGGCGAGGTGTTCAAGGCCTACTACCGTGCCGGAGTATTTTCCCGCGTGCCGGTGGCCGTCAAGATTCTGGTCGGCGCGACGACGGAGGACAGCGAGGCGTTGCTCAAGGTGGGGCAGGCTAGCAGAGACTGTTGAGGAATTTTTTTTGAGGAAGCGCTGCTCATGCGTTCGCTGAAGATCCACCACCCGAACGTCGTCGACTTGGTGGCCATCGCCTGCTACGAGCAGCCGCTGATGCTCGTCCTCCAGCTGTGCCAGGGTCCGTCATCCTCCTAGACTTGCGCTAGATTGCCCTACCTTTCCTCAAAAATTTCTGCTAGCCCGCCTGTTCCAGGTGCCCTGCTCGACTTTGTGCAGCCGCCCGACGAGAAGCACCCCAACAAGGTCTGGTTGAAGTGGGCGTGGCGGGACCCGGAATTTTTCAGCGCTGCCCGCCTATCGCGGAGCGTATCCACTGGGTGTGCGGCGCGGCGCGCGGGCTCGCCTTCTTGCACGAGAAGCAGATCATCCACCGTGACGTCGCCGCCCGCAACGCGCTCATCGGCAAGGACAACGAGGCCAAGATCAGGTCCATTTTGGGGTCTTTCGCATTATCGGGGGGGAGAGGGGAGGGTCAATTTTTCCTAGGAGTTAAATTCCTCAAATTGACTCTGCTATCATGCCCCGTCCTTCTTGATTTCGATCCCGATCTGTATTTGTAGTTTCCAGTGACTTTGGCCTGTCGCGCGCCGGTTCGCTGCATCAGGAGACCAAGCTGAAGAAGGTGCCCATCCGCTACCTGGCCGTAGAGACGCTCACCAAGGGCATCTACTCGCCCCGCACCGACGTCTGGGCGTTCGGGGTGTTGATGTGGGAGGTGGGTAGCTCTCGCTCTCTCTCTCTCTCTCTCTCTCTCTCTGGCTTTACCCCATGCTCTCTCAGGTATTCAACGATGGCAAGACCCCCTACGAGGACATTGATGACTCCAAGATCAAGGAGGTCAGTGTGAAAATTGCAGGCAGGCTAGCAGAGACCGCGGAGGAATTTTAGGGCATGATAGCAGAGATTATTTCGGAAATTCTCCCAATTTTCAGATCAAAGCGTTCGTGAAAGGGGGCGGCCGGATGCAGCCGGGGGACACGTTCCCCGCCGAGCTGTGGAAGCTGTGCCAGAACTGCTGGCAGGAGGATCCGAATAAAAGGTTCATTTTGGGATTTTAACTGGTTTAAACAGTTTACTAAACTTTAAACTTCCAGGCTGACGATGGCTGAGTGTGCCCACGTCTGCGGGCTGCAGTACAGCGTCTCCGGCGGCTGGATTACAGCCGTGGGTTCCCCGAAAATCTCTGCTAGCCTGCCCTCTCCTCCTCATCAACAATCTCTGCTAGCCTGCCCTCTCCTCTTCCTCAACAATCTCTGCTAGCCTGCCCTCTCCTCCTCATCAACAATCTCTGCTAGCCTGCCCTCTCCTCCTCATCAACAATCTCTGCTAGCCTGCCCTCTCCTCTTCCTCAACAATCTCTGCTAGCCTGCCCTCTCCTCTTCCTCAACAATCTCTGCTAGCCTGACCCGATTTACTATCATAATGTCAAAATTTGGGTTCTGTTCTGTTAGCGGGGGGGGGTGTTTACCGAAACAATCCAAATTTTATGACATTTAACACAGTTTGTGGAAATAAAAAATATAAACATGCCTCTGCAAAAACGGAGACAAACCTCTTTACCGCCCCAACCCCCGCTAACAGAACAGTACCCAAATCGCGCTATTATCAAATTTCTACATTGTGAAATTTTGAAATTATGAATTTTCGACACTTGAAATGTCTGCATTCCAGAAACGCTACGCGATCATCCAGCAGCCCAACTGGGACCTCGACGCGTTCCGCGCCGTCGAGCAGGAGCGCATGAAGATTGTGATGGCCGAGCGGAAGGCGGACGGGCTCGACGTTCCGGCTCCAGAAGCTGCTGCCCCTCCGCCGCCAAAAGCACGCCCCTCGGATTGAGCATCAACTGGCCCAAACACCCGCCCAGCCGCCCTTCAATGGCCCTTTAAAACCAATCGCCTCCTCCTCCGTTGAGAGTTGTTCTCAATTCCTTCGCTATTCACCGTGTGTCTCCAAATATGTGTCGCTTTTGTGCCCCCTAAATTGTGCCCCGTTGAGTGTTGATTTAATTTAATGTATAAATGGTTTCATGGTTTTTTGTGTTTTTCGCTTTTTTCGGTATATCGTTATTCGCAGTGTGGTGTTTAGTTTTTATTTATCACCAACAATTCCGCACGAAACACACAAAATTTGGATACAAAAAATTTAAAAAACTTAAATTTAAATTTAGCAAATTAAAACGAAAAAAACGGCATTTAAAATTTCAATCGAAAAAAATTAGAATGCCCCAAAATAAAATTATAATGAGATCAAAAATATGCAAATTTTGCTTAATGCGGGCACCGGTTTCTCGTCACACAGCCGAAATATGCAAATCAATAATGGATAGGGCTTGGGCTTGGGCTTAGTCTTGGCTTGGGCTTAGGCTTAGGCTTAGGCTCAGGCTTCAAATTCAAGCTAAATACAGCAAATCTAATGTCACATAAATTAGCATGCAAATCTCAAAATATCAGCATGAAAAACGGCATTTCGAATCGACTTTAACCAGATCAAAAATCAGCAAAACTTGTATGGAAAATCAAGCTACAGTACCCTCAGGCCACCGTACTCAGCAGACTGTCGTGCCGGGCGTCGCTGGGGCGCTTCGCGCGCGGGCGCCGCCGCGTCGGGAAGCGGCGCAGCAGCGCGTTATTGGCCGCGGCTGACATTTGGGCTGAAAAACTTACATGGTTATTGAGTTGGAAATTCAGTAATTAAATCGGTAGTAAATTCCGAAAATTCGATGTTCCTAATGGAATTTAAAGTTTTAATTTAATTTGTAGAAATCAGTGTTTTTACCCTGCGCCAGCTGCGTGTCCTCAATGGCCTTCTGCTGGGCGGATGCAAATTTCTCGACGATCATGGAAATCGGGAAGGCCAGCACGATGATGCCGCAGATGCTCGTGGTGGTAGCAACGAGTTTTCCGGCTGAAAATTGTTAATGAAACTTCCTGAATAATCTCTGCTAGCATGCCGTGCCTTTTCAGGCTTAGGCTTAGGCTTAGGCTTAGGCTTGGCTTAGGCTTAGGCTTAGGCTTAGGCTTAGCTTTCCTCACCTGTCGTAACCGGCTTAGCGTCCCCATATCCAACCGTGGCCATCGTGACCCTAAATCGTGCCCTGGCTACCGTAAGCTTTGACTTACACACACCACCAGCACCCGGCGGGGATACTGTAGAAATCAGTGTTCGGTTCGTCCCGCTCGAGATAGTACATAATCGTTGAGAAAAACACGATTCCGGTGAGGAGAAACATCGACAACATCGACAACTCGGTGATGGAGGAGCGGAGGGTGTGGCCGAATGTCTGGAATTGAGGGCAGGCTAGCAGAGATTGTTGAGGAAGAGGAGAGGGCAGGCTAACAGAGATTGTTGAGGAAGAGGAGAGGGCAGGCTAGCAGAGATTGTTGAGGAAGAGGAGAGGGCAGGCTAGCAGAGATTGTTGAGGAAGAGGAGAGGGCAGGCTAGCAGAGATTGTTGAGGAAGAGGGGAGGGCAGGTTAGCAGAGATTGTTGAGCAAGTGGAGAGGGCAGACTAAAAGGCTTTTACCTGCAAGCTGGTACTGTATCTGGCCAGCTTGAAGACGCGCGCCATCCGCAGCACGCGCAACACCCGGATCACCAGCATGGCGCCTGAAAAAATAATCTAACTGGTATTCAAAGCTTGGAAATCCCACGCAAAGCACAGAGAGGCCAAACCGATTTAGCTTGGCAACACACGAGGCTTTGGATATGGAAAGACACGCCAAACTTGAAATTTAAAAAGCCGATTTTTAAATTCGGGGTTTAGGCTTGGCTTAGGCTTGGCTTAGGCTTGGCTTAGGCTTAGCTTAGGCTAGGCTTAGGCTTGGCTTAGGCTTAGCTAATGAGTGCTGCATTGGGGGTTTAGTAAATTTTCTAACTACTGTAGAGTTAAGCGATTTGTGTACCTACCGAAATTTTTAAAGTTTGATGATTTTTACTTAACGATTTCATAAGAAAGTAGAAGAGTTCATAAAAAGCAAGTTTTAAAACAAAATATGTTGATTAAGTTTTATATTTTAATAGCTTTTGAAAAGACACAGCAAAGGGTGCATTAATGGCTGACGAGAAAGAGAGTGTGGGGTGCATTTTAGCGAGGAACACTGAATTCCAAAGTATTACCCATCCACGTCTGCGCGCTCCGGGCCAGGTTCACCTCCTCGCCTGTGCATTGGTTTTTAGTTTTTGACACAATTTTTCACAAAAAATGGATACAAAAATTCAGCTTAAAATATGCAGTTTACCGGTCAAATCCTTGAGCTTCCCGGAGTGGACCCCGGCGAGGGGGAGGCACAGCTCCATATAGAATGGGAGGATGGTGAGGAGATCGATGAGGTTGAGGGTCTTGCGGACGAATTCCCATCGTTTGGGATAGACGAGAAGCCTGGAAATGAGGGCAGGCTAGCAGGGATTATTGGGGAAAGAAGGTGGATCTGTACATAATGAGAGGGGAGGGTGAGAGCGAGATAGAGAGAGAGAGAGAGAGAGAGAGAGAGAGAGAGAGAGTGAGAACGACAGCGAGATTGAGAGCGAACTAGAGAGAGAGAAGAGTGAGAATGAGACGGAGAGCGAGAGAGTGAGAGAGGAGAGAGAGTGAGAATCGGTGCGAGAGAGCGACGAGAGAGTGAGAGCGGGAGTGAAAGGGAGGGCCCGAGAGAAAGAGTCAGTTTAACGGTGAGACTGAGAACGACAGAGAGACGGAGAGCAACAGAGAAAGAGGGAGAGCGAGAGCGAGCGTGAGAGCGAGAGAGCAAGCGAGAGAGGGGAGTGAGAGAGAGGGAGAGCGAGGCGGAGAAAGCGAGAGTTAGCGAGAGAGAGCGAGACAGAGAGAGTCAGAGAGAGCGACGGGCAATGAGAGAGAGCGAGAGAGAGGCGCGTGAAAATACTTTGAGTCCTAGGGAAAGAGCGGGCTAGCAGAGATTCTTTAGGAATGCCCTTACCTGACCGCGTATTCAAACGTAAACCACGCGATGCAGATGTACTCGAGCATCACCAGGAAAGCCATCGGATTGTCGGTAGCACGATACACGAAATTCGGGTACAACGGGTTTTCCATAGCGGCGGCAAATTTGTGCGCGGCTGGGCCCTAAAAAGTTTTTGAAGCCCTCAAAGCTAGCAGAGATTCATAAGGAACGAGGCAAGCTAGCAGAGATCATTGGAATTACGTACATCACCCGGATACGTCTTCCTGTTATGCATATTGTGATAGGCGTCGGCCATCGACGAGTCTTCCTGGAATTCGGGCATCGAGCCGAGGATCAGGCCTGTAAAAAATAGATTTTCATAACTATAAATGATATAACATAAAATATCCGCCTTTAAGAGTTTTGAACTTGCCGATGACGCTGGCGAAGACGAACATGACGGACAGGAGGGCAAAGACGGCGGCCGGGATGGAGGATTGCGGGTCTTCCAGGAATCGCCAGAGCGTTAGCCGGAATCGTCCGAGAAGCACCTAAATTCACCGAATTTCGCATCAGCTATCTTAAAATCAGCTCAATTCTCGCTTCCCAGCCCATTTAAAACGACCTACCCCATCGAAAATCGGCTCGAAGTCGTCGTCGGGCACGGCGATCATCCCCTTCTTCTTGGCGGCAAGCAAGCTCGGGTCGGGCGGGGTGATGATCGTGCAGCAGGCGGCCATCTAGCAGAGATCTTTGAGGAATTTTGGCGACAGGGCAGGCTATCAGAGACAATTTGAGGAATCCTAGGCTCTCAGCCCCAAGGCAGGCTAGCTTGGGCTTAGGCTTAGGCTTAGGCTTGGGCCTGCGCTTAAGCTTAAGTTTAGGCTTAGCCTTAGGCTTAGACTCAGGAAAACACACCTGATCCAACCCAATCTCCCAGAACAGCAGCTCCTCCTTGAAGCGCTCGATGCAGACGTTGCTCGGCCGATGGAGGGACCCTTTAAAGGGGGTGTGACAGGTGGAGAATGTATTTTAAAGGGCCATTGAAGGCGCCGGGGAGGATTACGGTAGTACCTGTCGCAAAATAATCCATCAAATGGTCGGCCAGCTTTGAGTTGCGCTCAAAATAGTACTCGCCGGTGGCGGGGTCGTAGCCATCGCAGAGCTGGAATACAGTAAGTATCTCTCTCTCCCTCTTTCTCTCTCGCTCTCTCTCTTTCTCTCTCTCTCTCTCTCCTCGCTCGCTCTCTCTCTCTCTCTACCTGTAGCCGCTCTTCATGCCCACTCGCGACAAATCGGTGCATCCGCGTCTCTTCTGGAGTGTAGAGCTCGGTTCTAAAATGGTACGATTTATTTTTAAACGTAAGATCGGTTTTAAATTTTATTTGAATTTTCAATTCTTAAATTTAATTTTAAATCAATAAAACATACCTGACGCAATAGGACTTCCCACCAACGGACAGTCGGACATAGGAATCAGCTGAAGTTCCGGCATGATTTTCTGGAAAATCGATGTTTTAAACACGGGCAGGCTAGCAGAGATTGTTGAGGAAGAGGAGAGGGCAGGCTAGCAGAGATTGTTGAGGAAGAGGAGAGGGCAGGCTAGCAGAGATTGTTGAGGAAGAGGAGAGGGCAGGCTACCAGAGATTGTTTTGCCATGAATTAGACACCAAATCTGTCGCCGAACTCGCTAATTGAAAAAGTAATCCGAGAAGCCCCTTTCTCGGATCTGCGACTCCTTTTCTCAAAGCCCCAAAACAGCCGCAAAAATCGAGCTTGGGCAGGCAAGCAGTGATTCTTGAGAAACGGCAGTAAATGCTAAAAATAGCGCGTTTTACGAGTGACTTTACCCCCAAAAAGTGACATGTGTTTTCGTGTGTGGGTGGGGCCCTTTTGGGCCCCATGGGCCCAATAAACGCCCCCACTTTTCGGCTAGAGAGCTGAAAAATGGCACATAAAGTTTCAAAACTGGCGCTCAAATTGTCTCTGCTAGTCTGTCCTGGCCTTAAAATTTAAAATTAACTGGCTTACCACCCCTATCCAGCCGTTTCAGGTCGATGGGGTCGAGATTGTTGTTGAAGCACACGCGTTCCCTGGACTTTAGGCAGTGTTCGAGCTGTTTTTTCCGGTTCTGCTGCTTCTGGAATGATTGGAAAATTATGTTAATCCTAATTTACATGCCCTAAATTGTTTTTATTAGCTTTTATCGTTTTTAAATTAAAAAAATTTTTTAATTTAAAGAAATTGGTTTTAGGTATTTTTCTTATCAAGTCTTCATACCGTAATTCACTTACCGTAACATTTCGCTTGTACGCCACAGCGTTTCCCATTTTTCAGGGAAAATTCGGTTTTTAAGGGTTACGGTAACCGGGGCAGGATTTAGGATTTAGGGATTCAGAATAAAATTAGATTCTTAAGAATTTAATAATTGAATTAACTGATTTCGAAGGAGAATATGGTAGTAAAAAAATAAAAAAATTGCAGATAGGAATTGTCCGATTTTTCGGAAGTATAAAAACTTCCAATTTTTTAAACTTTTACAGTAATCTTCGGATTTTAGTGAATTTTTAGGATTAATTTGAATATTGCAGAACTTAGCAGAATCTTAGAACCCTCAAAAAGAGTGATTTTTAGCGCCGTATGCCCGGGTGGGGGGCAATTGGATTTTGGGGGGTGGGATTTGAGGTCCAGGGGAGGCCGTCCCCCTGGCCGGGATGAAGCCTGACATCCTGGGCGGGGAGGGGCTTCTCTCGCTCGCTCGCTCTCTCTCTCTCTCTCGCCTTCACATGCCCTCCCCTGTCCCCGTCACCTACTGACTGATCATCAGTGTTAGTGTTGACCGGATGGCCGGAAAAGGGAGAGAGAGAGAGAGAGAGAGAGAGAGAGAGAGGAGAGAGAGAGAGAGAGAGAGAGAGAGAGAGAGAGAGAGAGAGAGAGAGAGAGAGAGAGAGAGAGAGAGAGAGAGAGAGAGAGAGAGATAAAAAGATTATCGACCAGTTATTACCGTTCTGAGGGAGTTGGAGAAGACTAGAAAATTTGCTACACCCATTTTTTTGGCCGGAATAACAAAAACAACCAAAAAAAAATCCTAAACATGCTAATGCTATTTTAGAGCGTTTTTCGTTGGGAATCCATCTTTTTAGCGCATTCCTAGGAATTCCTACTAGGGCATGGATGATGACGAGAACAACAACAATCACAATTTTAAATCGGTGCCAGAAGTCAGAAAAAGCTGCTACATTCGATTTTCGGCGAGGATGAATAGCGTTAATGGAGCGAGGGGTTCAATACGCTCATTTTCTGGCGGCATTAATGGTTTTAAAGGGGCTGGAAAGTGTAAAAATTAGCCCAAAATCCCAGATAGAAGTTTCACGATGGAAAATCGCTCGAATTAACTTCTTTAGAAGGCTCAAAAAGTCGCAAAAATCTGTAACGTTTATTTTAATCCTCAGCGTCGTTTTAATGCTCTGGAAATGGCGAATAAGCGTTATCTAATTTAGGGTAGCTGGCACGAAACCTTGGCATAAAAACTCAAAATATTCCTATCCTATTTTATCCACGAAATTCCGCCTTATTTGCGTATTAATGGCGTTGCGGGATAAGCTGGCGCAAAATTAATCAATTGAAAGCCTTGTAAAGCCACGAAAAACCGTTGCATTCAATTTTTGCTGCCTTTGTTTGCAATTTTTCCTGGGATGTTAACTGATTTTAAATTTTTAAAGGTATTTCAAGGCATTTTGCGCATTAAATTCCATCTTTATGATGCAGTAATGTCTTTTAATAGTCTGGAAAATGCGCAAAGGTTTTTAGGGTTTGTTCTGGTCTTTTCCGCGAGCACAAAAACTTGCATTGATCGGATTTTGGGTTTTTTCGAGGCCCAAGAAATCTGCGACATTCTTTTTCCCAGCGGTATGCGATAAAATTAAAGGAGTCTGTGGCGCAAATATTCCAATCAAAATTGAGCAGCAGCTTCCACTAATGATTTTAAAGGGACTGGCAAGGGTGGAAAATTGAAAAAATGGAAAGTTAGGATAGTAGAAATCGACCCATGCCTCATTGGGGAATTTAAACGGAGAAAATAGGCTAGAAATTCCGCAACATTCGATTTTCACGATCTCTTATTAGCAACGTTCAGAAGTTTTTCAGTTTCATGCTTATTTTATTGATGCATTAATGGCTAGATTTAAATGTTTCAACAAGATAGATATTAAAGCGTAGCTTCAACCTTGCAGAATTTCATGTATTAATGGCGTTGAAAAGATATTTCAGAAAGAACTGGGGAATCCGCATAATAAAAAATTTAAGGGGATTCAGAAGTCAAAAAAATATGCAACATTTGATTTCGGCACGCCCGAAAACCTCAATATTTTCGGTAATGTCGGATCTCATTCGTTGATCCATTCATGCCTCTAAAGGGACTCGGACACCGGGCAATAAAGTTTATCTGATGGTTTTATACCCTTTTATTCAATTTTACGTCCTAAATGGCCTCTGCTAGCCTGCCCTTGGCTTCCGGATACCCTTAAAACCCACCTCTTTCAGGGAATTGCGCGAAAAGCGCGTCTGGCGCGTCGACGAGCGCATCTTAGGAGCGACAAGGCTCAAAAATCATGAATTTTCAAGCGAGGAAAATTTATTAACATGTCGTAACTGGAAGTTAGCATACGAATGCTGTATGACGTTCAAAAAATGCTTTAAAATATGTTTTACCCGTTTTTCGGGCTTAATAAATCGCGAAAAATGCAATTTTGCGAGAAAAGGGACCCCCAAGTTTTGCGAAGCTATCAATTAGCATTTAAAAAGACTTAAAAATGTCACTAGAATTTTTAATGTCGTTTTTGGAGTGAAAAGTAGGGAAAAACTGGGTGTGGGAGAATCGATGGCAAGCTAAGGCAATATTTTATTGGCCCCTCGTGGCCCTTGGGCCGTTCTGGGACATATCCCTTTTTTGGGACTAGTGTTTTTTTTCCGGGTGACCAAGGTCCAGGCTCACAAATTATATTGCATTTTTACTCACAAAAAAATATGAATTTCCTAAAACAAAGAAGATCCGTTTAGGCTTTGAATAACTGATATGCATTGTAATATCACCTTTGTATCCTTGGAAAATTTTTTCTTAATTTATTTCATTTTTTATTATTGTTTTACTTTTTTGCTTCCATGCTTAGACTTGGGCTTAGGCTTAGGCTTAGGCTTAGGCTTAGGCTTAGGCTTAGGCTTAGGCTTAGGCTTAGGCTTAGGCTTAGGCTTAGGCTTAAGCTTAGGAGTTTAGGCTTAGGTTTAGGCTTAGGCTTAGGCTTAGGCTTAGGCTTAGGATTACGACTTAGGCTTATTACGCTTAGACTTGGGCTTAGGCTTAGGTTTAGGCTTAGGCTTGGGCTTAGGCTTGGGCTTAGGCTTAGGCTTGCGCTTAAGCTTAAGCTTAAGCTTCGGTCCGCCAGCGTCGTTCTGGATTTTATGCCAGTCTTCAGTTACTTATTTAGCTCCTCAAGGCTAGCTTAAGTTAAGCTAAGCCAAGCCTAAGCCAAGCTTTAGCCAAGCCTAAGCTAAGCCTAAGCCAAGCCTAAGCCAAGCCTAAGCCAAGCCCAAGCCAAGCCTAAGCCAAGCCTAAGCCAAGCCTAAGCCATGCCTAAGCCAAGCCTACCCCCATTCAGCTCTAGCCTATTCCAAGTGCGGGCGCCCTAGCCGCATGTAAAAGTCGCCAAATTAAATCGGAACTCGTTGGCCATTCAGCTAGACACGAGAAAGGGGGGAGCACGAGAAAATCAGTGGGCTTTTTGTTGTCGAGAATCGGCAGGCAAAAATCTAGGCGAAAAGCTGCTCGCCGAGCTCTGAATGGAAAATTGGATTTTTGAGGGCGAGCTCCTTGAAGGAGCTGGGGGGATTTGCCCTCCCGTGTTCCTGATGGGAATCTGGGGGATCGGGTGTTGTTAATGGGGTTCTTGGGCAGACTAGCAGAGACAATTTGAGAGAACTGGTTCTATTGCATTATCGGGAGGAGGGGGCATTTATCAAGGGAAAAACAACTTTTGTCTTTAGTAGCCAATTTTTGTTATTTAAATGAAAGGAAATGTTTCTACACTTTTTTATGATTTCCAATCTAAAAAACTTGCTAACCTAAAAAAAAACAAAAAACTAGATTTTCGCCCAAAATTTGTATTTTCCAAATTCTCAATTTTTTTTGCAGAGGTTTTGAAATATAGATAGAGGAAATGGTTTTCTACTGTTTTTTAATTCCTCAAGGAAATACCTATTTCTTAATAAAATGCGAAAAAATATAGGTTTTTCCCAAAATTTAAATTTTAAATGCTTGAAGTTTTTAAATATTTTTCATTTAAATCATCGTTAATTTTCACTGAAAACACTATTAAAACATTTACCATTACGTTTCCAGGTATTGCTGGACGTATGGGAAATCCCCCCTTCCCCCGATAATGGAAAAGCTCTGAGGGCGGGGTGGGCGAAATAACGTGGGAGGGGTTTTTCGCGGAACAGTCACCAGGGCAGGCTAGCGGAGACCTTTTGAGGAATTGTGCCCTTTACAACCCTCAGGGCAGGCTAGCAGAAAAAATCTACCCACTCGTCAGCGCAATGAAATCATTGATAAGTGCACTTTCACGCTGAATACCCAATTTTTTGCAACATAAAAATTCCAAAAATCCGGAAAAATGGCGATTTGTCTGGAACTTTGGGCCCAGAACGGGAAGTAGTTCGTAATTTTTGCATACCTAAGTCAAAGCTAGGGAATTTGTGAAAAGAAGTAAAAGAAGCGTGTACTGGTATTTACAAAATTTGAAAAATTCAGGTTGTACGCAAAATGTTTCACGAAAATTGAAATGAAAAACTGGCCTAACGCGCTACGATAATCAACGATAATCAACGGAGGAAGATATTTGGTATTTTCTGGTTTTTGCTGGTTTGTACAATTCAACTTTTAGGTTATGGCTCCTCCACGGCAGGCAGGCTAGCAGAGACCGTTGAGGAGCGAAAAATACCGTAGGAGAGCCTTCGACGTCCAGGCAACTAGCAGAGATCTTTAATTCTGGCGGCACGAAAACCCAGGCAGGCAAGCAGAGATTTCCAGGAAATACCCCAGACTTACCAATGAATAGTGCGTCCGCTTCAGCCGATATGATAGCATGCATACACCTAATGGTTTTGCTTACATTTCAAAAAAAAAAATTGAAAACAAGATTAAGGAATGGAAGCGCCAGGCAGCTAGCAGAGATTCTTTGGGAAATTTGACGAAGAGGAGAGGGCAGGCTAGCGGAGATTGTTGAGGAAGAGGAGAGGGCAGGCTAGCAGAGATTGTTGAGGAAGAGGAGAGGGC